TCTGTTTCAAAATTAACAATATTATTATTATTATTATTATTATTTTGTATTCTATAAATTCTCCAATGCTTTGGTGAAATTTATAGAAAATCACTATTTAGTAAATATTTCAAGAAAATTACCATTCACAAAATTCTCGAAATTTTTTCATAAGATATTTTGTTTATTTGTTTTAAAAATGACTTTAGGAATATTTCGACTCTTTAAAAATTTATTAAATAAATTTTAAGATTATCTTGACTCTTCGATAAAATCTTAAAAAATTTTAGACAAATTTTAAGATTATCTCAATTTTGGCAAGACCCTAAATAAAATCATTTTTTTAGTTAAAGGAATTAATTAATTATCTTTATTATGATTATTTTTAAAAATTTATTATTTATTCTTTAATTATTTTTTTTATAAAAAAAATTATATTAATTTAGATTATCTCGACTCACTGGTGAAATCTAAATATTAATATCTTGTTTGAAGAAAATTGAACTCTTTCAATTTTCTATATATATATATATATATATATTTAAAAAAATTCAAAATATCAATTATTATTAATTTCATTCTTTTATTTTTTTTATTATTGTTTTACATTGTTTAAATTAATCTTTATTTTAGTAAAAACAATTTTGGATTATCCCGACTCTACGGTGAAATCAAAAAAATTATTTTTACTTGCAATAATTAAAGAAAATTAAACTCTTTTAGCTTTCTCTAAAAATTACATTTAAAAGATTCATTTAAACAATTTTTTTATTTTATTTTTTTATTTTATTTTTTATAATTTTTTATTTTTTAGCAAAAATTATTTTTTAAAATTATCCCAACACTTTGGTGAAATTTAAATAATATTTTTGCTTGTAATAGAATTTATTTCCTTTAAATAGTTATTATTATTAAATTTTTTTATTTATATTTTTTTAGGTCTTTATTTTATTTTAGTTTCATTTTTTATTCTATTTATTTATTTGTTTTTTAATAATAATAATAATAATAATAATAATAATAATAATAATAATAACATCATAAAAAATAACATAAAAATCAAAATCAAAATGAAAAATAAAAAGAAAAAGAAAAAACTTATGAAACGGATCGGGTCAACGTACAAATCTTGTACAGGTCGGGTTCGTTCCAAACATCCCAAACGACATCGTTTTGAAAGGCCTATAAAAGGCCTATTTTTTATTTTTTTCTTTATTTTCTCATTTCCCCTTTCTCTCTCTACCCAGAGCTCCTCTATTTAGAAAACTCAGCCCTTATGCCGATTGCCATAGAGCCCAATTTTCAGTCGGTTGCTGCCATGCATTGATGACCGAAAACTTCAATGGTGTCGAAAAATTCAGAGGTCCCTAGATTCTAGTGGCCAAAAAATTCAATGGTCACCCAAAAATTTAAACTTTTTTGGATTCTAGTGTTGAAAAATTCAACGGTCACCAGAAAATTCAAATTTTTTCAGTTTTCGACGACTTAAAAATTGTTTCAAAACTTCTCAAAAATTCATCCAATAATCTTTTTTGCTTTCTAAACACTTTTCCAAGTCTAGATTTTTCAAAAAAAATCTCAAACTTTCTAGATCCAGAATTTTATTCTCAAAAATTTTTTTTTTGTGTTTGCTATTTTTTTTATTGTGTTTTTCCTTTTTTTATTCTCTGTGTCCTTCTATTTTTGCAAAACTTAGCTCTATTTATAGAGCTTTTGGGATTCAAGATCACAGATCTTCTGAAATTTTTTTTGTGAAAAATTTGTGTCTATACAGTGACTTTTGGTCACCAGATTTCAGGCTGCCAAATTAGGTAATATCATAAAGAAAATGTCACTTTGACAACTTGATTTTCACTGTTAGAGTTGAAACCAAAATATTTATTTTTTTTATTTTTTTTTTAAATTAATTAATTATTTAATAATATTATTATTAATATTAATAAAAAAATATAACAATCAAAATTGGTGTCTACAACACATTCAAATAGTATAAATTAATGTTCTTTTTAGATTTTTTCTAGCCAATGAATTTTGAACAAACTAACGTATATTTTGTTGACTCTTTAATCGGAGCTAGATCATTGTATTGAAAAGTTTTCTTTTAGACCAGAACAAAAAGGTCGCACATTTATTCACCAAAGAAATTTACAAGTTTGCCCATTATGAAAATATTGATAAATTAATTTGGTGTAAACTAATTTAATATTGCAGTTTTAAGTTTACACTTGAACGAAGTTTGGTTGGAAGAATTCATGCATGGAGCCATAAAGTCTTATCAGTTTTGTTGGAAGAAGTCACGGCACCTTAAATCTTATCATCTGTAGCTTTCGTCCAATATCTATGTTGATCTGTTTATTTGGCTTGATTTGATTGGTTTCTTTTACTAAAAGCAATCTTTTAAATTAGTGTGAAAACGTTGAGGAAAATTTTTAACTAGTGACGACAAATTTACATTCAAGACCAAGCACATGTATCGATGTCATGTTTATGCAACGGGAAAAGATGTAAAGTTAGGATTTAAAGTCATAAAAAAAATTAATAGTTGCGTAAATTCTTAATTTTAATGATTGAAAATTTAAATCCGATTAAATTAAGTAAAAAAAGTCAAAGAAAAATTCTTATTTTAATAAAAACTGATTTAAATTAATGATGCTAACTAAATTAAGGATGACATTTTATAATTCATCGGAAATTTCAGAATAGATATATATTGTATTAGAACAGTTACAAACTCGAAATTATAAGTTACACTATTTTATGTGCTCAAAAAATAACTTAAAAATAAATGTTTCATAAAATGCATATACGTCAACTGGCAAACAATTACATGTTCCTTTTTGCTCGGCATCGACTAAAGGTTGCAGACTAAGTTGAAATAGGTGGTGGCAATGGTGTTGTTGGTGGAGGAGGCAGTATTCTCGGCTGAATAGTAGGACCGCGCCTAGGCGGAGGAGGCGGTGGTTGGCTGGGTCTTAGCCGCAATTTGGACACGACACTGAACTTATATGGAAGGTCATGGGAAGGAATTCCGTCGAAGGAAGAACCAGATACACCTTTAGTGGCCTCTATCATGCTATTATCATGTGAAAGTAGGACAACAAAGATCAACATAAAAATCAGTAGGCAAGAACTTGCATTCATTTCTTAATGGCTAGAGACAACACGGTTCTCCAGTATGATATGGACACTAAAAATGTATGGTGTTCTTTGTATGGAAATTACCCATTATATAGGAAACGCCTTTGGTAACTCATTGGTTACAATGCCAACAAAAGTAGTCAGTCAAATTAACATTGGTCCACCTGAGGAAATTTCCAATCAAATTGCTTTGGTTAGACTGGATCAATGGGATGAAAATGAATGATGCCAGTATTTGCCATGAAAAAAATACTTTCGTTTCTATTCCAATATCAATACTTATGGAATTCAGGTTTTTATTTGATATATTGTTATTATATAAATGTACAAATTGTCAATAAACTACACAGATATCTCATAAAAAATGTTATATATCATATACGCTTTGTGAATTTTGGGCAAGGATTTTTATTTCTCTCTTCTCATAAATTTCACCTTTGCTTTTCAAGATTTCAATCTAAAACTTGTAAATCAAAAGTTTAATTGTAACCATTAGTGTCCTTTTGGACGAACAGCAAAACCGCCTTCTCCAACACTGTTTATTAATTTCTAAAATTTTTTTTAAGTTATAATGTGAATTTTGGATTTGCATATTTGAGTTTCATAAGTTTAAGTTTAGACTTGGATCATTTCACATTTAGATAATTGATTACTAGACAATTCAAACGATTGAGTAAGTCATTTGACCTTGCTTCATCTTTTTCATTTCCTACCTCTCTAGCCACAAGTTCAACCACACGTTATTCATGCCGTTTAGATTTGGGTAGGAAATTACCACATGCACCTGATTTGTTGAAGATAAAAATCCAGGTTCAGATTGGGTTTTAGGGTTTAATTAAGCAAGTCATTGAAGCTTGGTCACCACCTCTATTCACAAGCCCAATTGAAATAAGATTCAACTGAAGTGTTAAGACCACTCCAATGTTTAGACAAAGGGGTTGGGTAGTTGGGCAATGAAAACTTCTCTAGTTATTGCATATCTGAATTAATTGTTTTATAGGGAAATTTGTTCAAGCTAGAACCATGCACAAAGTGGCATCTCATTTCATCAGGTTTAGGTTAGGAGGAATTAATGTTTCTCCTATAACTAGAATTTTGGTGCAGGACTTTTATTTCTTTCATCTCATAAATTCTAAACGTCTGCTTTTTCAAGATTCTAATTTCAAACGTAAGACTTACAAATGGATGAAAAGTTGAATAGTAACCACAATAATCGTTTTAGACCTATGAACCAACTTTGACAAAGACAACAAAAGCGCTTTCTCTAACATCTAGCCTCAATTTCCTCTTTAATAATTTCCTGATATTTTCTTAACAGTTATATGAGCAAATGTGAATTTGGATTTGATTGTTTGGGTTGCAGCATGCTGCTTCTTTTTTACTCTGTTAAAGTTGGATCATTTAATCACTAGACAATTCCAATGGTTGAGCAAGTCGTTTGGAGTCTACCACTTAATTTCTTGAAACTAAAAAATCAAGGTTCAAATTTGGATTTGGATGATTTGAATTTGAGATATTGATTTATAAATCAACATGTATGGTTCAATTAAACCAAGGTCTGGTCCGTCCCTTTGAATCCAATTAAGCTTGTTTAATATTTAAAATATATTTTGAAATTAAATTTAAATAAATATTTTTTTAATTGCTAAAATAATAATTTGAGTCAGGTCCAAGATTAAATATCATTTGTTCAACCTCAAAGCTGATTTTTCCCAACTTGAATGATACATGGAACATAGTGAGAAAAATATTGAAAAAAAAAACTATTAGGATAATTGATAGGATTTTGCCTTATAATTACATTGTTATTTTGTTGTAGGAATAATTACATTGTTATTTTTGGTACATTACAGTTAAATTGTTTTATTTTAGGTAAATTTAGTATGGAAAAGTGTGATGAATCTGATTGCCAGGGACTTCGCAAGGCAGACTGTGGGATGAGTAGTGAGGGGTACATTGATGGACCTATCATCAATTGTCAAGGAGAAATCATTGGGATCAACTTCTATCATTGGAACTACACTTCTTTTCTTCCTATGAACATAGCTTTTAGATGCTTGAAGTGCTTAAAGAAACAAAACAAAGTCCATCATCCATGTCTTGGGATGAAATTTACTGATCTTTATTCAGTGGAATTGGATACTTTGGAAATTATAATTCAACAGTACTTCCCTCACATTTCCTATGATGTTATGATTGAACAGATTGCAGCAGAGTCCCCCGCTGCCCGTGCCGGAATAGTCCCCAATGATGTTATTGTTGAACTTGGAAGTAACATTGTTAGGTCTAGCATGGAGTATTTCGGAACGATTTGGGACAAGACTGGTGAATCTGTGGAGACTGTTGTGATGAGGGCATGCCTTGGTGAAGCTAATTTTAGCTATCCATGAGATTGAGATAGGTAACTACAATAGGTGGCCAATTCTCAGGGAAGAGTAGATGAGGATATACCATGTAGAGTATAAGTGGGTGTTTCTTGTGCTAATGAATACGTTATAGGCTGTGTCTTCTGTGCAAGAACCAGGTACAAATTCTCTTTCAAACCTGAAAAATGCGCCAAAGAGAAATTGCGTGGTTTTTTTCCTTTACTTTTTCCTTTTATAAGAGCTAGGTTGAATACTGATAGAAATTAACTTTTAAGGCTCCTCTCAAACCAGGAGCAAAAGTAATTGTTTGGTTCGTAACCCACTTTTCTATTACCGAGTTAGATCAAAAGTATGAACACCAACGAGATTTCTGCTTTGCTTCCCCTCTGTTTAATCCTAAATTCTCTGATTGAATATTGTTTTCACGGTCCCTTTAATCAAACCCTAGTTTCAATTTCAAGATCAGTGACACATTTTCAATTAATTGTTGCACATGAGTTGGGATATAGATTCTTTAGTCTAGTTATAAGATAGTAATGCTCTCTTTTCTTGTAAATTGAAGAACGAATTTGATTAATTGCTCAACACATCTAGAAAAAACATGAAACAACTTGATGTCTAAATGCTGGAAGTTAATGAATTGCAAAAATGTGAATTGTAGAAGAAAATGTATTGTAGAAATGGTTTTTGTTTTTTCAGTATTATATCAAGTATTTATCATTATGAAATTGATGATAAGATGTCACAAAATTGTCACTGGATTCAATATTATCTGATTAGAATGAAAAAAAAAAAAAAATTCATGGTCATCAGAACTCATTTAAGATGAATGGAAACGAGAATATTAGGCTCAGCACCCTGCTGCTCTCACTACAGCTTCCAGCAAGAGAGAGATAGAAACGGATCATTGATTAATTAATGGAATAATTAAAGAGAAACAGATTGTCTCTGATCTTTTTACATACAACTGACGGTACACCAAATCAAAGTTACAATAATTAAAGATTCTGAAACATGAAGTGATGGGGTGACGGTGGTGAAGGAGCTAGAGGGAGTGGAGGACTCATGTAGATGGTGGAGGAGATGCCGAAGGAGGAGGACTCAGGTGAGAAAAACCATGAATGAACATAGGTGCTGGTGGTGGCAGTGTGCCAATGGCCCTCTTGGATACCGCATTCAACTCATCATGGGGAGGAACTGCCTCTGACCAAGACTCTGAAACAGATCTAGCAGCCTTGACGATGTAAGCACGGTGTGAAAGTAGGAGGCGGTGGATCAACAGGAATGTAAGCGGGCTTGAATTGACATTCATTTTTGGTTCCTATGCTTTCAAACACCAAGAAGAATATGATCTTTTATATGCCTAGGCCTAGTGGCTTAATCTCAAGTTGCAATATATTCAAATATATTGCTCAAACCACTATAATGAAGGTACCTTTCAATTTCTATAGGTTGTATTTCTTAGTTCTGAAAAAAAAAAATCTTGTTGACTAAAAATATTGAAATCAGGAGGACAAATCCATAACCAACAGCAATCACAATGCTGAAAAATTTTTATATCCAAGTCCAAATAACAGATATTCTGAGGAAAAGATGAAAGACAACAGATTTAACAATAACACAAAATTATTCATCAGGTGGAGGAAATAATAAAAAGGGAAATACATGGAATTCATGGACTATAAGGTGGTGGCGGTGGTGGAAGTGATGGTGCTCTTAGAGGCGTTTCTGGAGGTTGAGACCAATGGACAGCTTCATTAGGCTTTGGAGAGCTAGGCCTTACTGGGTTTGGTTTCCCAATTTTTCTGCCAACAATGTCTACCTTCCTTTGGGCAAAGAGTTTGGATGACTCAGCTTCGACTGTATCCCTATCATGAATATCCAGAGCTTTAGCCATTACGGCAAGCTTTCCACTAGGATGAGAAGTTTGCAACACCAAGCCATGGATAAGCATGAGTAGCAGCAAGCAAGAAGGAGAAATATCCATGAAAAAACCAAAGTTAATTACTTCTTCAGAACTCCTTTGCTTTAAAGCAAACTTATAAGCTAACATTTTCTTATAAAAGCTGAAGTTTTTGTTGGCTTGCTGTTGTCAACTGATCATATCTCGGTTGAAGAGTTTGCTACCGTATGCGTAAATTGTTGAAACCCTAGGCTGAAAGACTGAGCTGTATTCCATAAAGGCCAAGGAAAATGGAAATTATGTAGGCACAATTATATATAAATTGGATTTTTATAATCACCACTCTTTGAGTGCTAGAAAACGGGCATTTGCACGTCTGTTTTAGAGAATAAGGTGGTTCATTTCAACTACAACCAAGCAACCGTGGATGTGAAAATTAGTCTCATACATGACCACGGTAAGTCATATTACAAGACATGTGCAAGGCTAGACAATTCTGAACATGTTTTCCTAAGTAATTTGAGTCGATTAATCGTCTCTATTGTTTGAAATTTGACATTTCGATGTGTTAGGCCTAATTATCTCCATTGTTTTCCTAGATTATATTGTTTGAAACTATCTTTATACTTCTGAGACTAAAGTGGTTTTCTGAGGTCTACAACATTTGCATTTGTAGATTAATTATTAAGATGATAACATCCATCTGTTTCTGGTTCTCAAACTCAAGGAAAGATGATATGATTTTCTCTCAGAGACATCTTCGAGCCAGAGGGTAGACTTTTTTCATCCCAATAATTCATTTGTACATGTTTTTCTCCTCTAAATAAGTCATCTTTGTTTGTATTGCGATTATCAACAACATAAATTTACATTATTTAAATCCAAGGAAACAGACAGCTTTGGATTCAACGATCCTGTAGTTCCCTTAGGAGGTAGAAATCCTGTTTCCCGTCGCCTGAGAAATTCACAACTAAGCCCTGGCGGCCTGCCCCCCAAACCTCCCCCACCCCCCCCACCCTCTTTTTCTGTCCAAAAGGGTTATGCCCCAAATGACCCTGCCAAAAGTTTGGTCCAAAAATCAGAAAACTAGGATTGGTATTGCTATTTAAACAGCAGTTCCTGCGGTTCCACAATGAAAAAATTGCTATAATCACTTATGTTTCAAGAACATCATAATAACACACATAAGGACAGTTTAGTCATACTCAACTTTCAAACGAATTAATAGATTTTTTGATATTGGGGCCTTAATTGGGAATCAAAATCCAAATGTTTGACTCGTTATAATGGCTTAAAATTCAACGAAATACCCATCCCCAATTTTCCCATGTGCTAAAACAAATTTCCTGTTTCTATCTGCACAAGAGAATAGATGGTCCTTATAAATCATGCAATCTAAATTTTTAGGCCAGTACAGATAAATGTAATTGAGCATATATCTAGGCCAAGCCTCCTTAAACTTTACCTTCAACAGGGAAGATTTGGCATGATAGATTATGTGAAACTTTCGGGTGGTCAGGTGTAAATGCATGGAGATTCATTTATAATTAGTTCTCTTCAACTAAAATTTGTAACTATCATGCAACTCATCAGGATTGGTATTCGTTATAGGCTATAGTTCTGTTAATCGATCTCTTTGTAGTAATTGGAATCTTGATGAGTTGATGTTTGTCTTGTCTCACCTTCCTTATTTTTAAAAGTTACGCATGTATAAACTAAATTCTTTGTATTGCTTTTTGGATGAATAAAAACACATTCATTTATCCAAAAAAATTGAAGGCACATACAGTCCCAAATTTGTAGCTTTGCTAGGAGCAGGATTTTGTTTGTTGCTAGAGCAATGTTCTAGCTATGTAGATACAACTTCTTGTGAGATTGAACGAAAAGGAAATGGAGAGCAATTATCAAAGTTCAAAAATAAATATGAGCAATTATCGGAACAATGTTCTAATAATAGTAATAATTCTTACAGAAGATGGGGAATTGCCTTAAAATCTTCACAAACTTACTAACTTTAAGTTAAAATAAAAGCTCCAGACGCTAAAGCTTTATCAACTGTAACCTTAGGGCCAAGTATCTGATAAACTATTCTTGATATAGAAGGTAGCATGCTAAAATCATATGGGTGGTTGGCACGGGGATGAAGGTGGTGGTGGTGGTGCTCGTGGTGGGGATGGTGGTGGAGGGCGTCGAGGAGATGGAGGAGGACTCTTTAAGTGATAAGGAGCATTAATCCTAGGTGATGGTGGAGATGATGCCTGAATCCTCTTGGACACAACTTTCAACTTATTCCAAACATCACGTGGAGGAATTGGATCCGGGGGTGAGCCAGAAATAGATTCCGCAGCCTGGACTGTGAGATTACATTGTGAAAATAGAAGGACATTTAACATAAGTAAAGCAAGAAGGCAATAATTGAAATCCATTTCTGATGCCCCTAGTTTTAGCAGGGCCTCTTCTTTTATATAGTCTAGCTATAGTATGAAGCTTCCAGGATGGATAGAGACTAGTTGAAGTTGAGACTTGAGAACGAGTTTATAACAACTTGTGAGCCAGCTGGTGCTAGTTCTCTTAATAATCAATGGATGGAAACTTCAGAGAAAAAGACAGAGGGTTTCTCGTATATATCAGGTTTTAGCTAATTTTTCTTCCCTCATTAATGTTTTCTTTGTCAGAATCTTAACAAAGTCAATGCAAATAAGATATCCAAATTAAGAGAGCTGTAGGTTCAAAATATATAATTTGTAAAGAATAATAAATAGACATTTTCATGGTATGAACTGAAGCAAATATGACAATTTCATGAGTAAAAGATTGCATTCTAATTGTGCTTCAAATTCACAATACCCTTACTGATTATATGTAAATTTTTATTCTCTGACAACCTACTAAGTGGCAAAGTTATCCTTATTTATCAATCTTTAAGATAAATTTTATAAATGTACTGAGCACAATATTCTTTATTAGCAGTGCCGTGTAGATGTTGGACGGTTTTCCTTTCTTTTTCATTATTTTTATTATTTTTTCTAAAAACATATAAAAAAAAAAAAAAAAAGAGTAGATATTCTTTGATTTAAACAAAGAGAGAATGAGAGAGTGATAAGTAAAAAGTTTCTGTCACGAACAGCTAACATATATCATGATTTGACATAAAAAAAATGTAATTAAAAAGTTATCAAAGAACATAATTTTCTTTTATAAGTAATTTTTTAATACAATTCAAAAATTACATTTCTTATCTTTAAAATGTCAAAATTTATATTTGTTAGATTTTACTTTAAACGTTATATTATTTTTATGAATTTTTATATAATTTGAGATTCAAAACAAACAAAAGTATGAGAATTAAATATCAAAATAAAAAAAAAAATTATGCAATAATGCCATAGAAGAAAATCTTAATTTCTTGAAATTTCTATCCATGTACTATTTTTTCGTCCATTTATTATTATATTATAATTTAATATTAAATTTCACTTATTGTTTTTTATTTTATTAAATTTTGTCTTTATATATTTAATTTTGTTTTTTAAAATAATAAAAAGTAAGTGTTTTAACTATATGAAAAACTTATATAACCAAAGAACTAACGTTAGTTCTATATTTATTAAAATACTAAAATTGTGGTTATATTTTTGAAAGGAAAACATCAAATACTAAGCTGTTAGTTCTACTTATATTATATATCGAAAACGTAAAATTCAAAAATATAATTAAATGAAGAAAACGTAAAGATTTTAGTATATCAAAGATCTAACAGTTAAGTATTTTAACAAAATAAGTATTTTGAATTTTTTTAATTTTAAAAAGCATTACATTTTTTATATTTGAAATATAGTAAATCAATTAAAATAATAACAAAATAAAATAAATATTTTTAAATCAATGATGTTTTTTATGTGAAAAACGTAATAATTGATATAATATTTAAAAATTTTAGTTTTTACTAATAAAAGTTATGTTTATTAATTTAAAAACATGATTGATAATTTATCAAATATTAAATTTTTTTATTTCAAAATATGATTGACAATAAATAAAAAAATTAAATTAAAAAAATTACATTTTTATATCATGGTGCGGTTAATAAAAAACAATTTTTTTTTTTTTTTTACTTTTAAAACTTAGTCTTTAAAGCCATATTTAGTATGTTGATGTTAACTTGATAAATGTTTTGTTTAATTATGAAATATGAGGCCCAATCTTTTTCTTAGGACCATCTGACCCATGGCGCCATATGTTAATCACATATTATAATTTGGTAATTTTTATATTTTACTTTGACTTTCTTTATTACACACAAAACTAAGAAAAACAAAAATGAAAAAAAATGAGCTCCGGGCTCCGGCCGTTAAATTAAATAATTAAAATGCCTTTTTTTTTCTTCATCATCTTATGTCAATTTCTCAATTTTGAGCTCAGAAAAACTTGAAAATTTTTCATTTTTTAGGTATTTGGCAGCGCAAATTGTTCATTAAAGGTCTATTTCGCAGGAAATTTATTAATTTTGATGTGATTTGAATTGTGATTTGATGATATTAATTTTTTGATGAAATTATAAAATTATAATTAAATTTAATTATAAAAGCATAATTAAATTACGTCAAAATAGATTTAAGTTAAAGACATAATTTATTAATATTATAAAAGCATTATAAATTTAATATTATAAATGCATAATTAAATTTATATAAGCATAATTAAATTATAAAGAATAATTAAATTTAATATTATAAATTATAGACCTAAATTAAAAACATAATTAAATTATAAGGTATCAAATCCCATTAATTTCATAAAAGCATAATTAAATTTATATACCCGTCAATTTTTTATATTTTATTTGTTCTTTCCTTCATTACTTATCAAATGTTGTGTCATTGTCTTTATTTTATTTTTTATTTCTTTGATTGAAATGGAACTAGTTAGAGTTGGATTTGACGCACATTTCTTTTTTTCTTTAATCTTTTTTTATTTTATTTCTTAAATGATAAGATGTCATTTTTTATTTTTTTCTAATTTACTCTATTTTTATATTTTTTTCAAATCCTTTGAATTAAAAAAAAAAAAAAGTAATTTTACTTTTCCTACCAAAACTTTATGTGCTCCAACTCTTTATTCCAATTGAATACTACTACTATCTTTTGTCATCCATAATATTAAAGTAGTAAAAAATAAAATGCATTAGGGATATCCACATGGCACCCTCTTTTTTTCTTACATTTTAAAAAATATATAATAATTGATGAAATTTAAAAAAATAATTATGATATTTAAAAATATTATCTTTGCTAATAACTATAACATTTATTAATTAAAAATGTGGTTAATAATTTATTAAAGATCACGTTTTTTTATTTCAAAATGTGATTAATGATAAATAAAAATATTATATTTAAAAATTATTTAGATTATATTTTTTATGTAAGAGTTTTTACCCAAAAAATTATGTTTTCTAGCATAAGAAACATAATAATAAATGTGATGAAAGAAAAGAAATAAATATTTTTATTTAATATTAAATGTGATGATGGAAGAGTAATACTAAATGTGATAGTAAAAATTTGAAAATAGTTGTGAAGAGAAATAAATGTGATAGATGGAAATAAATATTTTTATTTAATATTAAATGTGATGCAAAAGAAATAAATGTGATGGATGGGAGAGGAATAATAAATATGATGTGATGAAAGAGTAAAAAGTTGAAAATAGTTTGCGAAAAGAAATAAATAGGATGGATGCCTAGTGATTGATAAAAAATGTACTTTGACTTGCTTTTCTTTTTTTTATCGTGTTCATTTCTTTCACTCTTTTTTTTTTTTTACCATATTTTTAAATGAATCAATGATCACATCAGCTACCAGTGAGGAAGCAAACATTGTTACAGAGATAAAAACACCAAAAGAGGTAATATCAGGTAACCCTGGAGCTCTTGATTCATCTCTTTCTTCTTTCAATGGATCAATCAAGATCAAATAATTTTTTAACAAAGATAACTAATTTTCCACTAACCCCATATCCTTTTTGGGTAATTAAATTCTCTTCTAATGACACAAAGGAAATCCATAGTGTTTTTTTCTTAAGAGTGTATACATAACTATTTACATTGATTTTTGATGTGTTTAAGAAAGCGATGATACGAAGAAGAAAAGGGTGATAACAAGAGTTGTGTATCCATTGGCATTAGTGAAACTTGGAGGGCTTGAAGGCGACATGACCCTAAACGACATTAACAAAAAAATTCTAATGCCACCGACAAGACTGGTAAGGAACCTAGCAAGGGACTTTGCTTGTAGGCCATGCGTATCTGCCGATAGTCCTGGCCTTTCTGGAAAAGCCGTGGTGACCCTTACCAAAATACACACTCAAGGAAGAAGCATGATCACTATTATTAGAACCAAAGGTTAAGGAATTGAATATTTCATACTACTTGCTTTTACTTCAATATAGATCATGCTTTGTTTGAAATTGTAGAGGAGGTGGAGTGGTAAATGGATCATGTATGAATGTAAAATAGTTCACTTTTTTACACATAATAGTTTCTATTAATTGTTGGATTTTTATGCTTAAATTACTTGTGTACTTTTATAAGGAAAAAAGTATCGCTCTTTGAATCAAATGAAATGTGAAGAGGGAATAAGGAAAAAGATGGGTTTAAAGAGGGTTGAAAAATGAAAAGAGGGAAAAAGAAATGGAATATAGAAGGGAAAAAGAAAAAGGCCTTTGACTTGCTTTTTTTGTTACCCTAATAAAAAAATTATTTTTGTTAGATTTTGGTGTTGTTTGGTTTCTTTGAGAAAGTGCAAGAAAAAAAAAAGAAACTTTTTAATCTTCAATTAGACACAGTTCTTTTTTGGATTTGATTTTGGTTTTTGTAGGTAATTGTTACCACTAGTTTGTCAATAGTTTAAGAAGGCTTTAAGGAGCAAAACATAGAAAATTCATTCCCACTAAATGGGTAATTGGCATTATTTATCGATGGTTTGACATATGCATTAGCTTAATTAATGAAGAAACTTTTATGATCAATTAGTTTAGATTTTTAGTTTATTATTCTTTTAAGCACGCGTTTTAGATTTTTTTTAGTCCCATTATATATCTTAAAATTCTTGTAATGAGTCCTATTGTATGTCTAATTTGGCTTTTAATGATTAGAAGTAATGTGATTAAAAATGTCTTTCTTTATTTCCATGACTCGTAATTTATTCCATATATGTTTCATGTACTCATTTTTGTCAAATGAATTTCCTGTTACAGCCATTGTAGTTATGGTTGAATTTGCTTGTTACACATGCATTTATTGAAAAAGTTAAGGAAGACTGACAAGGTATGGTGGAAGGAAGATTATATTTGCTACTACTAATAGCGTAAGCACAAAATTTGAGTATTTATCCCACTATGTTTCTTATTTTAAATAGTTGCTCTTAGAATTTGGATTTTAGTGCTTAAATTTTCTTATTATTACATTACATATTTGACACATGATTACTGGACTTACAAGGCTTAGATCAACAAATTTACCAAAATGAAGGGTTAAGTTTTTGAAGTCAAACGTTTTATATTGGAAAACATTGAGAAGGTAATAGTTGCTTTTGGGCTTTTATTTTTCCTCATATTGGTTTTTAGTTCTTAAATTCTTTCTATTGTTACATTACATGTCAAGTACTACATAGTGGTGCATATAATGTATTTATTTTTCTGTTATCTTCTTTTACCATACGTTATTATATAATTTAATTTAAATATGAAATTAGAGAAAGGTTGACCTTTCTTTCTTATATGGTCTAGATGTTTTATTACACTTTGCTATTCAAAGCTTTGGTTCCTTCACATCCTTGCTTCATTTTTTTTTAATCATGTAAAAACAATTTTTTTGTTTTGTTTTAGGTTCATTATTTTCATTCTTGATATACCTTGATTCATATATACTAGATTTTGTTCAAATTTAAAAAGTTGTTGACACGTTGATGTGTAAAAATCATTTTTACATAATCAATTATGACAAGTAGGGTAATAGATTTATTGACTTGGTAGCATGGTTTTGAACAATTAAGAACTTCATCCAACCAATGATAAAAGGCTAAAGGGATATGTTTTGTAATATCTTCGTTCAAAATATAAATGTACAAACTTATTATATTGTTTTTTTATAATGGAAGTCAAATGAGACACATGCTTATAGTGGAATAATAGTGAGAGGATTACCAATAAGTAGTTGGCTCAATTAGTTAAGATTCATTTTCCTCGATGAAGAGATCTTGAATTCGAATTCTACCGGTGGTCATTTGTTAGGGTCATTTCGAATATCACATAGCTTAAGCTATTAGTATGGCACATTTTGTTCTGATATGAGGAACTAAACAATTTATTTAACCTGGATTTCTCTTACTAAAAAAGAAAAATAACGAGAGGATTTGTTGGAAATGGAATGGCTTTTCTTAGTCACTATTGTTGCATCATAAATTGTATGAAGTGATCTTAATCAATTCTCTATTGGCCTTTATTAGTTTGTATAAGCAAAGGTTAGTAATTAGTGTAAAATGTGGCTAGCATTTACAAAATTGGCTTTTAAATTCTTTTGTATGTGTTTTTGTTTCATGAATTCCAAGAATTGATATTTTCTTATCGTTGTTTTAACTTTGCAACTGTTTAATTTTCTTTGTTCAAGATGTTTCTATGATTTTAGGATGGAATTGATAAATTTATCGGTTGTGTCTTTGTGCACAAAATTTATTTGTGAAAATGCCTCATGGTATTATTATTTAGTCATGGGATGTGAAATGTTTTTATGGTTTCTTTGGTGTTGGGAGACTAATACTATACATTTGCATGAATATTGGATGTGAGCCTCAATTAATTAATATTGAGCTTATATGGCTCTTCTTTTTTGAAAGTATTTCAAAAGTTAACTATATTAATACAATTTATTCTAATTTAAAAACAAAATAAAGATAAAAGTGAGATACATATAGATATAAAAGCCTTTAATTTTTTTTCTTTAAAGTGAATTTGAATCATATAAAGAAAAACTATGTTTTCATACTTGAGATTAGGTTGAAGATATTTGAACAAAAAATTTTGCCCCTTTCATTAGGATACCAAGATATTTTACTGTTTATAGCATGTTTTTATATTTACATCAAATTAAGAATGCAAGGTGTAAAATTTTAAAGGCTAGAGCACCATTTTGGTTGTTTTTTGTCTAATGCTTTTCTATGAGTTAGAGGTGTTTGTTAAAATGTCTCTTGAAGGTTTTTTATATTGTAGGATTCAATTCTCACAAGTATTGTGTCATGCATTTATTTGATAATTAACATAAATACTTAAATAGGCGGTGTTAAATCTTTTATTGAGCTTAGCACACATTTGTTTGAGATTTTTTAATCTATGAATAAAAAGTATAAGCCTCTATTATCTTAAAATTTAATCTAGATTAATATGTTGTGGTTTCATACAGAATACATCTTTTCTTTTTCAAACAATTGATATTTTGTATAGTTTTTAAACATATCATTTTTCTATTTCTATGTTTATAAAAACATTTTTTGAAAGGTCTTTTTGTTATTGGTCTGATCAAGATTTGGGAAATTGTTGGCAATCTAAATGGCAGCAGATGAGAGAGGATCATGTCATCAATGACAAGTTTAATATCTTATTAGATCATCTATAAGGAATGAGTATCTTGGATTTGTATAGACTTATATATTTGTTACAGTGTACATGCAAAATTACATTCATTGAATTATAAATCTTTGTTCAATATAAAAGTAAAATTATGTGTTTTAAGTTGTCGAAGAAAATATTTTTTAAAATTTTTTATTCTTTCAAAATATTATTTGCTTTTTATTTCTCAATGCTCATTTTGCTTTTAATTTTAAAAGAAAAAAAGTAAGTAGCAAAAGTAATTATCAAAGATATTCAAAGAAAATAAAATTTTCAACGAAATTGCTAAACTTTTTATGTTTCTCAAGCTACAAAATTGCTTGGTTTTATGATTTATATGTTTGCATGATTATAATATATTATGAAATACCAAATTTTAAAAAAATATACTTTCATCATATATTTAATATTAAATCCTTGCATCGAAGCATAGGCATTCTTTTAATTATATGTAAATTTCAACTGTACATAATAAATGATATAAACGAAATCACATATTAAATTTTAATTATTAAAATTAAAAATCTATCATACTATCAATATCACAACAGACCTTATTGTTGTTAATGATTTTTTCTTTCAAGTTAGTATATTTTGACGACTGCATACCTTATTTCATATTTTAATGATTGCATGCACGTAAGCCTTATTTCCTACGCACAAAAAGTCGACGGGTACGAGGATTATGTATCTTGATCATGTTGATGGGGGCGTTGCGGGTGGGGGCATCGGAAAAGGCTGAACGACACCATTGATAGCAGGGGAAGGTGGCGGTTCCAAGTCCAAACAGTGCAAACTTCAAAGACCCAGGAACAGCTACAATGACCTCCACATGAAACCAGCAACCGGATAGTAACAGCCCGTGGATCAGAAAGACTAAGGCAGTTTGAAATGAGTCCCATTGTTATTGCTTCTTGCATCATCAGGCCGGAGATAAATGCCCTTTAAATGCTTACGAGGTTCATGAGAACTTACCAACAAAAGATTACACTAACAACTTGCCATTACAGTTTTGCAGTTCACATTATCCATGGGAGAAGGCATCAAAAATACTTTGACATGGTCTTGGATGGCTATCTCCACTCTTAATTATTAAATGGCTATGTATTCACCACTATACTTTTGACATACTTTTATAGATGTAATGATTCTTATAAAATATTAAAATTTACATAATCATATTATATTTTATATGAAAATTATGTATTATAATTCATATCAAAAATATAAAATATATTTTTTAAAATTTGTTAAATTCATATATAATTATTATTAAAATTTTAAATAGTGACACTTTTATGTTTTTTATTTATATCGTATTCATGTCGTTTTATTCTTTCGTATTTTAAATTATCATTTTAAATTGTCACGTCTATGGATTTTGCACCTAATTAGAGATCTATAAATTACAACAATCCATGAAAATTCAGCACATCCTATTATAGTACAACAACGACAACTATCAAGCCCTAAGAACCAGACATCCAGAGAGAATTGAATTATGCATACAAATGGAAAAGAATAACGAGAGAAAAACACTTCCGATATGCCTGTTTGAAGAGCTTTACTTGGATTTCAGCATAGAAAACCTTATGCCACACACGTCTAGTTAATATACAAGCTCCTTGTCCTAAGAATTAGTTAACTATTCATGATGGCTTCAGCCCCCTCAATGCTGCAGCAAAAATCTAAATATACAAAGATGGAGCAATCAGACAAGGACGCTGGGGTAAAAAACTAAAAGTCCAGAAATTAGATAGTGCAATCTGAAGTTAAAATTGTTCCACTTGTTTGAATACACGGGTTAATAAGAAAATGACATGATATTAAGAATAGCAATTACCATTCATGTGTCCTCCCCCTCACCCCCATTCAATGTTCAATCATCTAGTTGATATGTTGGATGGAACACCAATATCATGGACTTTATTCATGCAATGAAAAAGCAGGCCGGCAATTTATATCAAAGTAAAATAACTGCTTACCTTAGCAGAGGCACCAGGATGCTGTTTTGGATGTGCAGGAGGTTGACTGTGACTACTGCTTCCCTCTTCCTCAAAGTAGTTGTTTTGCTCTAAGGCTGAATTTGCCTCTATAGATCCTTCCTTTAAGTTACTATCAGGTATTCTATTGTCTTTTATAAATATCGTCTGTGTTTCACTTAATGTTGAATCAGGTGTACTATTCTGGATGGTATTTGTAGGAAAATCTTGGTCCTTTGAGAACTGTGTAGCTGCTGCTCGTGCACCAGCTATTGCTGCAATGAGACCAGATGATTTCTCAATAGCAGATGCTTCGGACTCCAGAATGGATGCAGAAATGGATCCTGGCTTCAAGGAGAAAGGATCTCTCGGATTTGGTAGTGGAAATTTTACTGGCGCTGGACTATCAACTGGGACAAGACCTCTAACAGCTGCCTCATATATCTGTAACAGATATTTCAATCAATATCAATTCAAAGCAAATTGAGCAAGAATAGTCTAACTTCTTGCACAAAGTTACCTTCTTTTCCAAATTATAAACACGTTGGTAGCCTCGCATCTCAAATGGGACTAGCAATTTCTACACCGAATGAAAAAAAAAATACACTCACAATATAATATCTAATTGAAAAAGGAATTATAAAATAAGTTGAATAGCAATCTATCCAGCATGAAATTAACACCTTTGGTTGTTCACAAAGCCAGCAAAAATCAGTTAGTCCTTCTAGCCTAACCTGGATATACCAAGGAGAAAAAAGGAGAATAAAAAGAATGAGTGGATTGGAATTGTCGCATATCATGTTGAGATATCAAGGAGCACAAGGTGAGAAAAGCTAAGTAGCCCACCCCTTCAGGTAGCACCTCCCATTGAACTAATTCTTCACATCTCAAACAGCCAACCACTTCAACACATCCTATCAAAGAATAATTAATCTAGATTAGAAAAAAATAATACAATGGATAGAAATTTAAAACAATGCCATTCAGAATTAAAACCATACCCCATAAAATTATTTTATCAATTTGCAATGAACTATTGTCAGGAAGTAATACCAAAGAGAATTGAAAAACAAGCAAATAAACCACCACAGAAATATCAAATGAGATTAAACGAATATAGAAAGGACTAACCTAGCAGTCTTGAAACAGGATAATGTTCTGGAAACTCAATATCAGTAATTCCACTCATTGCATAAATTTCCCTATAGAAATTCTCCATTGCTTTGATTGTAGCTTCATCTGGGACTTTACTGGCAGCATGTATCCAAAGGCGACCTGCAAAGAGAACATAATATACTCAGAGGCAGCTTAACTTTGCAGAAAGGGGAAGAAAAGAAACACTAGCTATAAACGCATCAAAACTGTAAAAAGGAAAATGGATAATCATAACTCCATTTCTCTAAAACAACATTGACATTTCCACTTCAGGGCCAATGCAAAGAATTGAAGCATAAAACATCTAGCAGGAGTCTTCTAAAAAGGCATTTCCATTTCAGGAATAGTGCACTTCAATTGGACGTAAAAAAATTGACCACTAAAGCTTTATTGTCTAGTAATTATGTAAACTAAAGTACAGTCTAAAAATCAGCACATATTATGCTTTTCTTACCCTTATTACCCCTAACAACAAGCATAGTTTCTATAAAAAGCAGCTCAAAACAAAGATAAGAACTCAAAATTAATTTACAACATAAAGCAACTAAAACAATCAACAATATCTAACCTTTTCTTTATTGTTGAGTAAAAATTAGATATTCCACAAAACATAAGGAACAAAAAACTAAAAGCCCCAATCCTAACTCTAATCAAAAACTAATCAACCACATGATTTAAAATCATAAAAGAAAACACTAAGGAGATTAATATGAAAAAAAAATTGAGTACTGTTTTCAACGTAAATTAAAGCCTTATCAAAAAAACATATGGTGCTTTTTCTAACAATTTCCAACTTTTTTTTTTACTCAAAACAAAAGAACCCCATGAAATATAACTGACAAAAAAGACATGGGTATTTGTTTTTATGCATAAATTTAAAAGCTTTATATTTAAACAAATTAGCGGCTACCTCTAATTGGAGCAGCCCAGGACCTGCCTTCGATACGTTTGATCCCATGAACTAACAACGAAGCCCATGGCTGGTGCATCGTTAAACATGGATTTGTGTAGTTCCCTCCCTTTCTTGGCCCTCCTTTTCTCATTTTATTTATCTTTTTTCTTGTTCGCGCCGTAAGAGTGAGAAAATCTGGATTTCGACAAGAGGCAGAAGAAGTAAGAAAATTTTAGGGCTGTGTCTTACTTATATAGGTCACGTGACATTAGAGATTTCACGTGCAATGTTTAGAGCAATTAAAAAAAAAACTTTTGTTTGCCAAATACCATATAAAATTTAAAATCTTATTTAAATCGGATTTTTTTTGTTTACAAATTTGAGTAATTGTATAACTTTAAATTTCTTGTCTCATAACGAGTCTTATTCCTATTTTACTTTGGATTTTTTTTTTCATTTGTATTGCTTTCGAGAAAAGGTCATTTATTAGGTTCGTTTAGAAAATTATAAAAAAGAAATTTTATTATATTTTAATTTTTCAAAAATAAAAGAATACAGTTATTGCGTGAATTAAGTTTTAGGTAAGAAGCTTAATTATGTAAATCATTATGTATTTTGTTTGAGGTTGTAAAGATAATTGAACCCTAATTTTCAAATTTAAAAGTATAATATTTTATCAATAAATTATATAATTGTTGATTTTTTTTATTTACTTCTTTTTACTTGACATAATTCCTCAAGTGATTTCAAGTTTGTTATCAAAATTTATAAATTACAAAAGAAAAAGAAAGAAAAATATTTTTAAGAAATGAAAATACATATTTATATAGGCAAAAAAAATAATAAAAGTCACATGAATAAAAGAACAATTAATCTTATGAACATAAGCCATGCCATGCATGAATTAACTTCTTACAATTCAATTAACAACTCCCCTAATTGTTTTTCATTTCATTCATTGCATTGCAGTCATTCCTTGGTACATATGTATGAGAACAACATTTGCACTTTGTAGGGTAGAAGAAGAAGCTCCATGAGTTACATCATGAACACACCAGAATTGCACTAAACAAAATCCTTTGATTTCAATACGATATGCTGAACTTTTAATTTCAGAATTCAAATCCTCCAATATCAAATATATATAAAAAAAAAAAATCATAGATTCTTATAAAAAAAGAAGGCCTTTTAAGTGATAGGTATTCTAATAAAAGCAAACCCAACTTGATTGAATTAAAAAACGAAGAGAAGTCAAACCCAATGGACTTGGGCGTCATCAATGATTTAAGCCTTCAAGTAGGTTTACAAGATCAAGTTTTTTTTTTTTTTTTGTTATATCATTGGGTCCAAGAAAAAAGCATTTCTTTTCACATGATCTAAACTTAAATGTTTTTGATGGCTGGCTGTTTTTATTTAACAATTCAAAATCAAATTGGATTCTAATTCTTCATGTAGGGATTTGGTCCAAAAGTGAAAGAAAAATGGGACAAACAATAAGCAAAAAAATAAATAAAACAAAACAAAAAAGGAAGCCAGATCTCTTGGGTTTTTCTTTTATGATTGAGGAAAACTTGAAGCTAATTATTTGAAGACTTTCTCTTCTTTATTGAGGTTCATGTATTAACTATTCACTAGTTGTGAGAAATGAAAATTTCCTACTTCTTTTTATAACACTAGTTGTTGCAAACCAACCTACATAAAATGGATGTGTTATGGCCTACTCCTTTGGCCCAATTCAATGCATTTTCAAATATTCTACATGTTGTTTTAGCCCAATTTACCCTTGACAAAAAAAAATATTAAAAAAAAAAAGTTTTTAAATTATAACCCAAAAGGAATTGAAAAGAAATATATTTTTTTCTTTTCTTAGAAGCTGACACAACACTTAAAAAAAAAAGATAAATAAATAAAAAATAGACTTCATTCAAGTCCTACATACAAGTCATCTATGATGAGTAATGAACGGTGTAATAAAAGTTTGGGACACGAAAGACAGTCCATTGAGTGAAAACAGGGAAAAGCATGGACCTTGACTTTAATAATATCACAGCTTGAATTTCCTATTCAAAACAGTCCAACTTCTGTGTTATACGTTTATGCTACGAAAGCTACGTAAGAAGTAGTGTATCGTTTGAACACATTTACACACGACCGTTGACTAACAGCGTTTTCTTTAGTGATTAAGTGCTTATAAATAAAAATTCAAAATTTGTTTCAATTAATTTATTTGATCATTTTTAAAAAATAATAATTAATAATTTTAATATTTAAAATTTAAAATATATGATTATTTTTATCTTTAATCTACGATTTTTTTGTAGAAAAAAATTGTAAATAATATTCGTATTATATTTCACAAGAATAGTGTTAATCACATAAATATTTTCTATTTAGTTTCATAAAAAATATATATATATTTTTTTTTTAACTAGTCCCAAACTAAGATTTTATCTTAGTTGTATCATAAACTTATTACTTTTAAGCTAAGCGAGTTATTTGGATTTATTATTCATTTATTTTGAATGTAAATTTTACAAATTTTTAAAATAAAATTTTACCTAAAAAATCACTCATGAATTATGAAAATCATATTTTTTAAATAATTATTAAAATCATACTGAAAATTAATGAAAAAAAAAAAAAGAACCGAACCCATCATAAAGTAAATTCATTTGTGGTCCTATGTCTATTCAAATGCAATATATTGCCTAAAAAATGTGTACTTTTTTTTCTCTCCTCTAGAAGCCATTATTGAAGCTCCTCATTTAAGCATGAACTTGAATTTGAATTTGAGCCACTTTCATAGCTACTTGGACCGCAATTTTCAAGCTGCCTCACCTAATAATAAGTGAAAGATGCTTTCATAGAACAAAAGCATATTCCATATGGGATCCACAATTAACTAGAAATTTGCTTGACTTATACAAGAGTTGTAGTAGCCTTGTAGTTATAGTTATAAGCACAAGTACCTTTCTTTCAAGTCCTTATCTTTAATACACCTACCCCAAGGCAACTTTGATTTTCTCGAGATTTTTCCCAGAAAAGTGGGTAATTCCAGAGTCGTTTTATACTTCAAACCCATAATATGGGATTGAATGTGATCAATCAGATAGAAAATTAATTTCCTTTGCTTTTCTTTTGGGATAAAAATGGTCAAACTAGTGAAAGAAGCCTTAATTGAGCTTCGTGGTCAATAAGTTACCAGGCATACAAATCATGGGTTTGGCAAGAAAAAAATTGGAAGCTGACCGTATCACATGGGGTTGGGAACAAGAACACACCCATGGTTATACATTAGAAATATAACATTTTCAATATATTTATTAAACTACCTCTCATTTTCTTTACTATTGTTTGGTAATGTTTCGAGTTTTACATTTAAAACCTTATTTCATACATCATCAATTTAATTTTTAAATTTCACAAGCAAAATTAATCATTCTAATTTGATCCTTAACATTTAAATTACAATTCATTCGTCATTCACAATAACCTTTTTTTTTAAATAAAAAAAAAAAGAAAAAAGAATACTACTATTCAAAAGTGGAAGCAGAACAAAGAATTTTAAAAGGTTACGCTACAAGCAAATTGGTCATCTCCATGATTTTGGTAGGCGAAGAAATATTCTTCTCATTCCCATTTCAACGTGATTTTGGAAGCTAGAAATCAAGATGGAAAATGGGCCTGGTCTCTTTTTTCAAAGATGACGAAAGATGGCAGAAATAACATTGTTGGCATGCAAGAAAGAATATGCTGAAATGACCATAAAAAACCACTTGTCAAAGAGGATTCCAGTTAAAAAGGTATTCACGTTTCTCTTGCATTTTGCATGCACTGAATTTGAGTACAAATTTAAAAAGAATCCCTCCCAAAAAGTTTATTCTATTACTTTATTTCTTTATTTTTCATTTTATTCCTCTTTTGTTCCAAATTTATGCATTTAACCCTACTTGACATGAATGGCATATTTTCTTTAACACCCTATCTCTTCCGTGATCTAATCGTACAAAAATTCTATTCGATAGTATATCAATTTGATAAGTTTGAAGCATTGATTATATTTAAAAATTACTTTATTAAATAAAATTTTATTTGATTTCAATGTCGTATTTGAACTATTTCTTTTAGTTAATGTTGTTTTTGTATGTACGATTATTAATAAGTAAAATATATTTTACCATATTTTGATATGCTCACTTCAGCATTATACAGCTGATTTATTTCATAAATCTTTTCATAAAAAAATTTTATTATAGGACATAGAAGAATTAATTAATTTGATAAAGAAAAGAATTCATTTTCTTCTTAATTGGTTGAATTAGTAAAAATCAAATACTTTATTTATAAAATTTAAATTTGATTTTTCTTATCAATAATCTTTTCTATTGATAATTTGTAAATTCAATATAAAAGCTCATTGGAGTTTATGATATGTTTTAATCTTGTGTTGAAGTAAGCTATCCTTGTCTAAACCTTGTTGTGAAAAAAATTTAATTCTTATTAAAAACACTTTAAAAATAAAAATTTTAAATGAACCAAGATCACAAAGGATGTGCCTTTGAAAGGGAAAAGACAAAACCTGAAAATATATTGTATTATAAAAATAATACATTATTAATTTATTATAAGACTGAATAACAGTAATTTTAGCAAATATTCTAGAGAAATAGCGTGGATTGTGTGTCCTCCCAGTGTCCCCCCCACCCATAAAGTTTATGTTGAACATAGGAAAAAAAAAAGAAAAACCATGTCGATCAGTACTAATAACAGCATCCAATGCAAAATTCTTGGGGATCAGTTATAAATGGTCAAAGAAAGTGGCATTTTTTTTTTGGCCTTTTATGAGTTCTAGAAAGAATGGCGATTCCATTTCAATATCAGAATTCTGATCTGCAACCCCACAGATATGTCCACATCTGTAAGAAAATTTCAGGCAGGTAAGCTTCTCAAAAGCATACATTTCCTTTTATCGATGTAGCTCAGCTACTGTTTCCTGTGGACTAGAAACCTAACCTTCCATGGCTCCCCGCTTCACGTCTGCTCCTTTCTTCAACAGCTTTTTCAGTTTGTAGTTTAAGAACAAAATTTATTGCTTTAGGTCTCGTTTGCCACAGTGAGAACGGTGCAATTGGAAGCTCCATCTCCGGTGGAAACTCAAAAAAAGTAAATGACATTCACTTAATTAAGGATTAATCATGCTACTAATTGATTATACATATATAAAAGACAATTAAATTTAACATATAGTATATGGAAAGCAAATTCACCCAAAAGTTTTCAGTCCTTTATATAGTAAAAATTGGCATGAATATAAATACATGCTAGATGGGTCTTTGAACACGGATTTCAAAGATTGCTGAAACATGCCAAATTCATGCCATGATTGATGAAAAATTGCAAATCAATTTGTACAAGGAAGAGCTTGCTTTCTCCCTCTTTTTAAGGTAAGAGTTAATATGGGGTTGGCTATTTCGAAAACAAATTATGACACGTTATTAATACTTATTGATCTGAGTTTAATTTTTTTAAAATAAAATTTTAATTTTAAGTTTTATAAATAAAAAAATTTATTTTTTATAATATTCAATCTAATTCAATTATGAATTAATCGAGATTTAAATTAATTTTTGAATATTAAAAAAATTTTTAAAAAAATACCACATGTTTAAAAAAAAATCTACCTATTGTCAACTAATAAAAATTAAATTTAAATTTTACAAATAATGTTTTTAATTTTTACTAATTCAATTGATTCTTGTTTACTTTTTCATTCTCTATGTAATTTTATGGATCCCCAATGATCCTTATCCTTAATGATTAAGTTTTCTAATTAAATTCAAAAAATAATCATGATTACTAAACCTCAATTTAAAAATTGCTTCCTGGTTCTGAACTCCAGTCATATCCTACAAAAATCCTTGACTTTTGTGTCACAAACCTAATATTTGGAAACACTGATAGTTTTTTTTTTCTTTAAGTGTTGTTTAATTTAACTTAAATCATGAGTCATAACTAACAAAATTAAAAAAAAAAAAAAAATTTGGAGTTCACTTAAAATTTTAAGCTACCTAGTTGAATTTTTTTTTTCAAATTTTTATATTTTTCAAATTTACAAGTGTTCATAAACATTCTAACATTAAAGGTATATTCGTCACTGACTATAAGCCAAATTAAACTCAAAAAATTGTATGTCATAACAAAATAAATTTCAAGACAAAACAAGGGGATATTGACATTGACCACACTTGAGCCCTATTGAACCACAAATAATTTGATTTATCCAGAAGATTTAAGAAAAACTCTAGCATCACATGGGTAGGACCTAAATTTTGCAGGTGAGCACATGGAGTAGGTGCAAGATTTGATGGAGTCGTTGTCTCTAAATGGTTAATGGGTTCTATTTTTTTTATTGAGAAATGTACAGGAATTGATATTGAAAAAGTACAATAATTTGTTTGGTTGCTAAGAAAGTTGTTTCCAAAAAATAATGAAAAGGAACTGCTTCTGTATCATCATCTTCCTTTTTTTGTTTTAATCCCTAAGAAATTAACCAATCATTCAACAAGAAAATGTAGTGTTTTCTTGCTATACTTGATAGTCTTAATTACAAAGAGCATGAATCAAATTGAAATATGAGGAATCGATGCAGCTTAATTTTTCGTTTTTTCTCAAATATAAATATCCAAAAATTTTGTCTGGAAACTGTGATAACTTATCACAGATCTTATCCCATGCATGATGCATGTGATCCTTTATATTATATCAATTACCTGATATGCTGCTGTACTGATCTACAAATACACTTTCTTTTTTTCCACAAGGAATCTTACTGTTTCAAACCCAAAAAAAAAAAAAGAACAACACGTAGGATCTTGGAAGTATTCGTACTATTGAATGACATGACAGGGTCCCAAAACGAATTTTTAAATAACTAAATTAAATGCAGTTACCCTTGAACAGAAAATTGAATGAAAATTTTGTCGTCTAGGAAGATTTTATTTCTTAAATTAAACAAAGTGGCAATGGATAGAATTTTAATACTGCAAATTTCCTTCAAATCTCACCACGTTTGCATCTTTTTCCCCCACTTGGCCTTGGACATGCCAGATGTTAAAGATTCCAGTGTTGGTTTCTGCTCTTGTATTTTAAGTTGGGACCATGTAGAAAACAAAAACCTATTTGAATAGTACATCCAAAGGGATAACATATGCATTGTGACAAAACAAAGTTAATTTTTTATTTGAGTTTAAATTTATTTAGAGAAAATCCGAGATAAATAAATTTATTTGAATTAATTTAAAAAAATTTGACAAAACTCAAAACTCTTTATTTCTATAAAAACAATTTAATATTTTTAATTTTTTAATTAGATTTGATGATTTAAATATTTACGACATAAAAAAAATTAAATTTTATATATTTCATAATTCATATTGATTCAAAAATATAAAATATTTTTTTTATTTTATTAAATTTATATATAATTATTATTATAATTTTAAACTATATCATTTTTATATTTTATTTTCTCATTATTTTTATATAGTGTCATTATATCATATTTTAGATTATTAATTTCAATTAAAATCGTTTTTTTTCTTGGTAAATAATTACCTCAGTTGCTTTGCGTTAAGGTATGGTCTCAAACTGAGGGTTTGATCATTTCTCATCAGTGTCACTGCACGCCTCAGTGCATAGACTTTCTTCCAGTATAAGGTTTGAAAAATAAGAGTTTCAATGTTGAAATTTGAGTGCAAACCTTAATCCAAGGAATTCTCTCCAGTTGAAATTTTAGAGTTTCAAATTTTCTATTATGTCACTGCAAATCTCAGTGCAAATATTTCTTCCACTTCTAGAAGCTACCTGCAAATCTAAATGAGAGTTTTGAGGATTGCTATTGACTTTGAATCAATGTGATTAAAACAAATATTAAGTTTATGAGCATTTGTTAACAAGAAATTTCAACTAGGAACATCTTCTACAGGTTTCTGATTGTGAAAAGGAGAAATTCCAACCTTACTCTTTGAATAAAAAACCATGCACCGACACTACAATCAAATGCTCGGATGCACATCTTCTACACGTTAAACACAAAAGAAAGGGAATAAACCAAAGCATATGCTAACATAGAAAGCTTGTTCCCCAATATTTTGGTTCTTAAGTTTCAAGCATACGACTTTGGTGGGTGGAAAATGATGTGCAATTCAATATTTATTTTTGTCAAATGTCAACATGGAATGAACAGTCAGCTGCCTGTTCACGAATACATGCCTGATTACAATTCGGCAGATTTTCTTCAAGTATATGCCTAAGTACATGCTTGTAATATGCTACCGTCCAAAGAAAGATGAACATTTAGATTCCACCAAAGAAACTGATAAATGATAACGTATCATATCAAAAGATGCAAAATCAGATTCCAAAGTTAAACGAAGCTTCATGTTTGGGGATTGAATTCTCTATTCAAGGATTCATTTTCTCAGGGAAAAAAATAAAGCATACTAGATTCCCATATATAAACGGTAGAAGAGAATCAACAACAGCTTGGTTTCCTAGGCTTTCTCGCTTACTTAATACTTTTATTAACAAAAAGAGAAGTACAGGAGGATTATCAACCATTCAACCTACTATTTATCTTTGTACACTCTCTTGCTTCCTTATTAAAACATTCAAAGAAAGGGCAAAAAAAACCCAAAAAAGACATTAAAAAAGACTGGTAGGTTCTTGGTGGTTGAGCACCCATGTGAAGAAACTCAATTCTCTATGTTGCTTTCATGGCATTGGAAAACTGAATTCTGCGGAAGAATCCATCATGGAGTGTTTGGTTTGACTTTTGCTTTGTAGAGAAGAAAGCTAGGGGGACCTTATGGAATTTGATAGGCAGGCGTAATATTTACATTGATAAGCTATTATGCTCTGCTTTTGACTGATAATTTCCAGCTCTTTTCATTGTTAAAAATCAGTCCATTTAAGTTGTTCCCCCTCCATTCAAGATCCAGGGGTGCCCTGCATTTCAGAACAAGAAAAAAATTAACAATTTATTCTTTACTTGGATGCCTGATGATACTGTTAGATGAGGAAAAGATTTGGGTCTATGGACTTTTGAAATACGTCAAAAAAACAGGAAGAAAATTCAACTTGGAAAGCTTCCTCTCCTTCTTCCTTGCAAAATCAGGAAGAACAAAAGAAAGTTTCAAAATCAGAAACCAAAACCAAATCATCCCAATATTTCAATTCACTTCAAATCAAAAACCCCCAAACAAATACAAAATAAAAAAAAAGGAAAAGAAATTAAGAACTTACTCAAAACTTGTTCTGCGGACCATCTCTTAGAAACATCTCTGCAAATCATCTTCCTCAACAAGTCCTTAGCCTCAGCCGAAACTGACCTGAAAATCCTTGTAGGAAACCTTAAATTCCCTCTCAAAACAGCCTCAAAAATCTCCTCAGCTGTCTCACCATAAAACGGTGGAGCACCAGCTAACATAACATACAAAACGACACCAGCACTCCAAACATCAACCTTCTCATTGTAAGCTCTGCCCATCACAACTTCGGGAGCAACATAATAAGGCGTCCCCACTAACCCATCGACCGTGCCAAGTTCCCCTAACCAAGTAGCAGAACCAAAATCCCCAATCTTTAAGTTACCTCTGAAGTCAAAAAAAATGTTATCAGGTTTAATATCTCTATGAACAATCCCAAACCTGTGACAATGAGCTAAACCCGACATAATCTGTTGCATGTAAGAAGCGGCTTTGGATTCAGACAAATCTGGTTGTAAAATCTGGTCGTAAAGGGTGTAAGGTTGGCAAAGCTCGAGGATGAGTTGAAGGGTGTCTTCTGATTCAAACATGTCGTAGATTTGTACGATGTTAGGATTAGGAGACAAAAGGGTCATGATTTTAGGCTCGTTTTCCAGACATTCTCGGTCGGTGGGGTCTGTGAGAAGGTGTTTGTCAATGGATTTACAGGCGAATGAGGCTTCGGTTATAGGACAAAACACTCGAGTTATTGTTCCAAACCGCCCTCTTCCGATCTCTTCACATACTTGATACTTGTCCTTCAATGTTTCACTCATTTTTTTGGGTTCCTGAGGTTTTTCTTGATCTGGGTTTTGCTTTTTTGTCAGTTTTTTAGGGAATCCGATGGCCTTTTGGCTTGGGAAGTTTTCTTAAGTTAATTTTAGATTTATGGGCTTTTAAAAGAGGGAAGAAAGGAATTTTCTAGAGGAATATTCGGTGGGTAAATAGCAGGATCCATGAGAAAGCCAGTTACGATACAACACGCTTGTTTCCTTGGGACAGTAAAAAAAAACTGAAACCAAACGGAGACCGTGCAGAACAATTAATTTTATTTGATATTTTATATTAATTTTTGTATTTAACATAAATAAATATTATATAAATACAATAATTATTAACTTTAAACGCGTGAAAACGGGAGTTTTTAACTCTGGAAAGTTACATTTTTATTGTTTGTTCGTTTTTTTTACCTTGTTGGAGCATAACTATGAATGACCGGATTGTCCTTATTTGTCCATAGTAATTCATCGGGGGACCCATGAAGGGTGAATCATATCATACTACTTTTTTGGATTTTGTTCAACGAAGCATGAACTTTGAAGGCGGCATATCAAACCAAGTAACTATCAAGGAAACAGGGGAATTATTAAGATCTAGAACTAGTTATTTATATATATGAGTTATCTATATTATCTTTCATAGCATATCCACAAATAAAAGTTTGATTACAATTATAATTAATACATAAAACCTACTTTCCTACATCCTCCTTTGGTTTGATTGAATTATATTTAAGTGACTTTATTATTATAATTTTAATAAATTTATTAGATTTGATATTGTTTTTGATATTTTAGTAATATTTTAATAATATTTTATATTGATAATATTATTCTAATAATATTTCAGTAATATTTAAAAATTGATTTGATATTGATTTAGATAATATCAAATATTAATTTAGTTAATTATAAGAATTGATTTAATTATTATTTTTTATTTTATAATATTTTATTTTTGTATAAATAAGTTTTAAGTTTCATTATAATACACTAATCATTATAATAAAGTTTTTATTATTTTTTTCTTTTTCAGATATAAATAAATTTATTTGAATAAATTAAAAAATGTACTAAATAAAATTTAATAATATTTTATCGCCCAAAAAAAATATTATTACTATAACTCAAATTTAATTGATTTTCACTTGTATAAGAATGAATTATAAAAAAAATTTGTTATATATATATATAATATATATATAACCTTAATAAGTGCTTTTTTTTTTTTCAAAAAACACTGTAAGTCTTTTTTGTTTGCTTGGCAGGATTTGTCAGGAAAACATGAAGGAAAAAGTTGAACTAAGGAGAGGAAAAAGAAAGAATATAAAGAAACCTTGGAAATTTAGCTTGCTTCTTGAAACTGATTTGTCATTGTCAATTTAACTCCTTCAATCAGATATACAAGAGAAGAAAAGAACTAAACCCAAATACAATCAGTTCTTTTCCTCCATTATTGTCCCCTCTCACCATAATAAAGTGGAACATAATTTAGTGTGATTTAAATGAGATTAATCAAGTAATTACCCCCCTCTTGTCTTCAAAAAAATGTTAAGAAAGATGATTTTCTTGGTGTTAAATCTTTGATTTCCTGGTGTTAAAACTTTGATTTATGCACCATAGATGATATAATGATTCTTAGGTCATATTAAGATGAAAGTGGAAAACTTTTTGACTACATATAGTACTCTTTCCATCCAATATTGTCCTTATTTGATATTCAATAAAATTTTTTAAAAAATGATGTTAATGTGTTTTATATTAAAATTTTAATTGTTTAGCTTTGTGACTTTTAATGTCAAGAAAAAAACATGAAAAATAAATTTGAAACTTAAAAGTAAAAGTACTCATTGTTAAAATAAAATTGTTTTTTATTTGAAACTACCAAATTTTTAAATTGATCATTAAAATTAAAAATTCAACATTCTAATAAATCTTGATTATTAAAATTAAAATTTTAATATTTTTATTTTATAGATCACGTGTATATTTTTAAATCATTCAAAAAATTACATAAATAGATAAATAAATAAATAAAAGGGAAGTCATTGTTAGGCAAAAAAATTTTCAATTTAATTAAACAATCAAGTCAATAAAAGTACAATTAAATAATCAATTAACTACATAAATATATAATAATTTAGCGTGATTTAATCTAATTAAGTTATATCTATAAGTAAAAAAATATATTAGTTGTAGAGAATTATAAATATATAATCTCAATTAACAATTAATATGTATGGATTCCTATTGTCTAATAAAATATTCTGAACTCATATGCACTTATACACCATATCTATATGAACTTTTTTATTTTCTTTTAGTTTACTTAAGTATACATATCCATAAAAATACCAATCTCCTATAATCTAATAAGATGTCTATATAATAAAATCATACAAATTTTTTTATATCTTTTTCTTATACGTAAACCTGTAAAGATTTTACTTATTTATAATAATGCTAACTTATCTATCAAGAATCAATTTTCTCTTAAAATTATTCTTATGCAAGTTTTCTTGTTTGTCAACTAATATTTAATTAATCTCAAATAATTTTTTATAAAATTCAAGTAATTATTCTTAACAATCTCTATCTTGATTCAAATTCTATCAATTCTTAATTTTATGCTCGACATGTTTAACTCTACTTATAATGAAAGTCTTATAATAATATTTTCTTATGTCTTCATACTTCATATAAATCGATCATTAAAATATGAACTCAAACTCTTCTATTAAATCGAGCTTATCTAGGCTTATCTCTTTTCATATTTCAAATGTTCAGCTATAATACTATTTGTTAGGCTAAAAGTCCTTATTTAATCAAACTAACAGAAGTATAATTAAACAATCAATCACCTACATAAAAGATAATAATTTAACGTGATTCAATTCAATTAATATATGTTCACAAATGAAAAAAAAATTTATTAATTGTAGATAATTATAAATATATCACTCGAAGATATAAATTGATTAAACTAAATTATATTAAATTATTATTATTTATATAATTAATTATTTGATTTGATTTTTATTAATTTAATTGGATTGAAACTTTTTAATTTAAAGAGTCATATCTAAAGGAAAAAAACAAAAGAAAATAAATCTTACTTTTTTTATGAATATATTTATTTTATCTTACAACTTATCATTATTTTTGTCCAAAACTATAGATGATCTAATCTTAACACTTGGTGCTTTTTGATAGGGAATGTCCCACGTGTCATGTCTCCAGCAAGGTGGAAGATGCTCTGGCCCATTCATTGTTTTTGCATCATTATTAATTTGTATATAATTCATTCAAAAAGATAAAAACAAAGTCATCTCATATCTTCTTCTTTTTATTTTTATTTTAAATTAAAACTGCCAATGGCTACGATGACCTTTTCATTGCTTCACTCATTAAATGAAAGCTTGTGACATTTTTAATTCCTTTGATAAAGAAAGTTAGTGACACATTAACAGAGTGAAGGAGAGAATTGTGACTTGTAGACATCTTTGTGGAACAATTGGCAAAGCATCATTTTTGTTGCCTTTCAATTTCGAAGAAGGCTAAAAACAAAGAATTCATAATTTAGATATTGATCCTTCATGAAATAAATTAAAATTAGTTGAAAAAGACATGATTTTTTTTAATATTTAAATATTTAAATATTTATTTTTAAAAAATCTAAATCTTTTAAATTTGACAATAAGATGTAACTAATCCTAAATAATTTGAATGTTCAACCGAATCAAATTTATTCCATCCAATAAGAAATACTAATCAATGCCTTGCCGGACAGTGCAAGGTACAAAGGAAGGACATGTTAATAGGAAGTGATAATTGAAGCTATTGGCTTCAAATTGATTACAATATCGGGTTTTGCATGAGGATAAGGCCTTTCTTTTTTTTTTTTTCTTTAAATTATATATTCACCAGCACTTCTGCTTCTCTCTAACTTCTGAAAAAGTTATAAGTAGGAAAGATATGTAGTTTTTATTAGAAGATTTTGATTTTGGCTAATATTTTATAGAAAATATATGAAGGTGCAACAGCACTAGTATAATTCTTTGGGGACAATTACATGAGGGAATTATAGGAAAAGAAAAGTTCATACATGTGTGTGAGTATTGTGAAACAATGGAAATGAAATGAAATTTGTGAAAAAGAGAAGGCAAGCTAATAATGGAGTTTCTTTTTCTTTTCCTTTTTAGGATAAAGTTTGGGATAAAACCCTTGGAATGGATAAGATGCTGCAGTTTGATCTCAAAACTTGCAGAGTCATGCCTCTGTCCTATAAACGAGATTATTAAATTCTGAAATGTTTTGATAATATATTATACTTTTATTTTTTTTATTTTAAAATTTAATTACTGAAATTAAAAGTCGAGCATTTTATTAAAATCATGTTATTATTGACAATTTCGCTTTTTTTTTTACAAGTGATAAAGTAAATTTAGGCTTGTGCTTGTCTTTTCCAGCTTCTAAGATCATTACAGTTTAGAAAGCCAAAATCCCAAGAATTCTGAAAGAACCCACCAATGAAAATCACAAGAACAAACTGAAAACAAATACTATAATCCAATGGTTGCAACAAAGAAGCAAGAATAGCAGCAGTAAATATCAGATTTCTATGTGCTATTTTCCTCCTCTTTCATGTGCAAACCCTCCTCCACCACTCACCATCTAGTGTTATGACTTTACGAGATTCTTGGTGAAGTACTGTTGAAAAACGATTGGGAAATCGATTGCAATAAATTAAGCTTTGACAGTGTAATAATACCAAATGACATGCCATCACCACTGACACTTGTTAATATATATTTCATTCTTATATATATATATATATATATATTTAATTCAATGAAAATCTTATTAATTTGTCATTTCATTTGGTTGATGTTCAATTAAATTAATTTAAAACTTCATCGTATAAAATCGATTAAAACATTATAAACACTCACTAGTTATCCAGAGGAAATGGACTCATCTGAGAATTAATAAAAATCAAAGTAATACGTAATTGCTTTGGATTGATTGAAAAAGAGTTGCAGAAATTAAATTAGTATAAATATTGTATATTAGGGGAAAAAACTTTTTACAATATTATTTTTAGATGAAAAGGAAACAATGATTAAGGCCAAGATAGTATACAATAATAAATCAAATAAAAAAAATTAAATTCTTGATTGTATAAAAATTGTACCAAAAATATCTTATAATTGTCTCTATCACTAGCTAATTCGAACTTGCAAACGTTTTCTTGGTTTAGAAAATTTTGTACATATTATCATCCAAATATATATATATATATATATATGCATATATACCACCCTTGATTACCTATGTCATGTCTTGCGTAGGTTAACAGCATTTGCCATGCGAAAGTTACATTTCTATTATTGTTGGAACTACATTTCTTAATCCTCTGGTTAACAATCACATTATATAATAATGTTATTATATAAATGTCTAAAAGCATAATTCATCTTTGAAGTCTCAAGTTTTAACGTTTGCATGTGTTGGGTTTAGCTAGGAATAAAACAATGTTAATAACTATTTTTTGTTTGATACAAATGAGATAATAATTTAAAGATAAAAAAAATTAATTGTAAGTATTGAAATTTGAATTTTAAATATTTTGAATGTCATTTTTTAAAAATAATTGTATGAATTAATTAAATTAAATTATCGATTATAATAATAATTATTTTTTAAGATTTTCAATAGATTATATGTTTGTACGATCTTATCTACTTTGAAGGTTCTCTTAACTTAGGTATGTGCTGACCTAAAAGCATGAAGTGCCATCATGCTTGCTGATTAAGTTTGGTATGTCTATTAATTAAATTAATAATTGTGAATAGAATCATTTACCTAATGTATAGAATTATATATATAGTACATATCTCTTTTGTTCCTTGTAAAGTATATGCTACTATTGCATAATTATAATATGTGAGAAAAGCATGCTTAAGCTAAAATATAATATTTTATTATCGATAATCCGAGGTTTAAGTTAATGAATTTCATCCTAGATTCAATTGTTTACCACGTGATGTCAACTAAAATTCTTTTATATTGATTTCCAATTTCGTTTGATCACAACCAATAATGTAGTTTGGTGGCAATAATCCAGTTTGGTATTGTTTTTTTTTTTCTTTTGGCCAATGGATAGCTTTTGTTTTATGGATTTATATTTTTTATTTCCCTTATTATTTGATTTAACCTCTTAAAGTTGAAAGGTTATAAGGTTCATTTATTTTTTCTCTTGTTGAGTTTATAAAGTCTAATTATTAAAAATTATATACTTTACTCACTTAGCTGAGATATTTATTTAAATTCGAGTTATAATTTTTTGTCGGTATTAAACTTTAATCACTAAAACTAAAAATATTTATAAAAATTCACTACCTTATGCTTAAAAAAGACTGACAAAAATAATATGATGATAGATTATTTACGAAGTAATTTTTTAAGTGTTTTTTTATAATTTAATGATCTTTAGTACTATCAATAAAGAATTTTTGCAAGTGCACCAACAAACATTCAATTAATTCATTTTTTGTACTCTTCCAACTAACCCAACTCCATGACATATCAAAATCTCATGTTATTTTGTCTTTGACATAACATCACCCATGTTCCAATATCCCTTTCTTTCCATACAATGAACTTTCAATCAATTGATTTTCTCTTGTCATTCTATTGTCTCTTTCAAATTTCATGTGCTATAGCCTGCAAGAATCCAATATCAAAGCTGAAATCAATATTGGCATATAGAATAAATAGTACTAGGTTGCAATAGATTAAGCAAGAATATCCCACCTTCCCCTATCAATTTCTATGTGCTATATGATCATTGTCACTAGTTTGTGCAAATGAAATAATGAGATTCTTGCATAATTGTTGGAAAAAAAATCAGATAGCTCAATTTTTCTATTAAATGGCAAGCATCTAGTTACATTTGATGCAATAATTTAAGCTATATGACAATGAAATGACACCAAATTACATGTGCCATCCACTAATGAATTTAATGATGACTTAGGTTAGAATAATGTAATTAACATTGTTCATTATGACAAGACATTAGTCTAGTTCTAGAATATGGATAGGTAAAGGATATGCATGTAAGGGTTAAAAGTTCAATTCCTCTCTTCTATATGAAATTAATAGGTATAAATAGTATTCTTTTAAAATGTATTGATATAAATATAGTACAAATCATTTGAGGAATGGTTATTTTTCACTAATTTTTGAACAAAAAAGATCAAAGGAATTGGGAGAGAAAGAAGAATTATAAACCATTAAAAGTTGATAAAATCTGCACATTGGACTAGGCTAAGCCTTATTTGCTAGGCTCAGCCCTTAGTTTAGGCTTTGAACTTCAACCACCTTGTTTTGGATTAATGGGTTGCTTCTCCATTGTCCAAGCTTCAATTGTGGTCATTGGGCAGCTCCTTAATATTTTTTTTTTTTTGAGTTAAACTCTATAATTTATTATATTAAAAATATAAAAAATAAAAAATATAATCCAATCAAGTTGAGTCGACATAATAAAATTAAAAAATTAGAAACTTGACTAAATTTAATTCAATTTCATTTTTCAAATTTGTAATTTGATCGAAATAACATATTAAGTAATTGAATTACTCAATCTTTGTTCAATTTAAGTTCAATCATCGTTACACTAAAATCAAGCTCAAGTTTAAGCTTGGGCTTGAGCTTGATTACTTGAATTTAAATTTTATGTGCCATTCATTATTATATTATGTTTGTTCAAACCAATTTGACAAAAACGATAGCTTAACAAAATTGTATTATCCTTTAAAAAGTTCCATTGACATTCATTCAAAAGTTGTTATTAGAATAATGTTTGTGCCGAATTTTGAGTTGATTGATAAAATTTTGAGATCATAAAGGAGAAAAAGAGATTGGTTAAGTGCAAAAATAAGGAATGTTTCTTATGTTTACACTCTCATGTTAAAGTAAGAGGTTGGTTATAAAAAATCAAAAAGAAAATATAACAGCGAAAGAGTAAGAGAAAGTAAGATGATTAGACAACACTTAAATAATTTTATTTATAAATAGAAGGTGAGGGGTTTATGGGATAAATTGTTAATATGATTGAATTGATATGATACTATATATGTCAAGTCGGTCTAAAATTAAAAAATATCCCTATTTATCTGCTAATAATTTTTAATGAAAAAAAATTATTTTACCTTTTAAATCTAAAAATACCCCTAACAAATAGTGTAGAGTATTAAGAATGGTCTTAGTCACATACGATCAAAGAAGTCAATAAATTAAAAAAAAAAGGTAAAAATAATGGACTATAATGTACAACGAAATTAGTGGCATTTTCAGCTACAATGAGAGAGGCTCATTAGTGGCGTTCCTCAAGCATTGTTGCTTACTTTTTTGGCCAAATCTAACGTCGGTGAAAGTCAGGATTTAGTTTGAAATATTTCGAAAACCAACAAAAGGTGCTGTACTTTAGCTCATTTTCTAAATAACTTTTGAAATTTTTCTTGAAAGATTTCATCGATAAAGAGAAAACCAAATGAAGGTATTGTCTTGCAAATGTAAACCAAAATTAAACAATAATATTTTGTGTATGATGGATTGACCTAAGCTATGTTTAAGCTGACAAAATGACTCATTTGTTGCGAAATTGTAATAGTTTGTCATTATTTCTAATAGAATATTCTTTCTGTGACAGAAAGTTCTCGACCCATGTTGACCTTTGTTCAATAATTTAGCAAATGGATTTAAACAAAAACAGAATTACCAAAAGTTTGTCCGTCCAATTTTGTTATTAAGATTGAAACATCATTTGAATAAAATTTCGAATTCAAAATAATCCAAAATTTTGACATATAAAAATAAATAGATTTTTTATGTCGAAGAATTGTAAATATAATCGAGATCATTATTAATAAATACGATTACATTAAACTTAAAATCATTTATTATATATCAAAGTTAATATTTTTTTAATTTTAAAAAAAAATTCAAACTTATTATTTGAGTAGAGTTCATATATCAATTATTGATTCAAATGTCCGAAAAATATTTTAATTCATCTAAAATTATGGTAATATTAATATTAGTGGATAAGTTAAAATACCAATACATTGATCATGTATCCATAATGTGTGGCTATTAATACAATACTATGTATGATGGAAATATATATATATATATCACATTTTTATCTTATAATTCAATATCACTTGATGGTTAAGCTAAGATTTTCTTACTTTGGCAGATTAAGCTAAGGAATAATTGTTTTAGAACCAAATAATATTTTGGCACATTGAGCTAAGCCCACCAAAAAGATATTGGGATAGGCGGCGGCCAGAAGATATAGGTGTCACCATTATTGTCCGTGGCGCATGTTAATTTTGACTCTCAAAAGATTTTACACATCTTAAAGACATAGCAACCAAGAACAAGAGTGGAATTAGTTCAAAATAAAATTCAATAACTATTTCCATTGTGATCATCGATTTTTATAATAATTTGAAATTTAACTTAATTAATTTATATAATTATTTATAAAAACTGATACCAAAAAAATTTGATTCAAATTTCAATACTTATAACCTTTTAATTTAAAATTGTGGCTTCCATTATAAAAAATGAACTTTATAAGAAAAAATATTATGTGGGGGAGAGGGCAAGAAAATTCTTCTTAGAAAAAGTGGGTTGTTTGAAAAACCATGCAATTCTTGGACCAAAGCTTAAAAAAGGCCAAAGAGAGAAAAAGGGTGCTTAGTAAACTAGGCAAAAGGGGAGACAGGCAAGCATGGTGAGGTTTCCTTGTTGTGAGAAGATGGGAATGAAGAAAGGACCATGGACTCCTGAAGAAGATCAAATTTTGATATCTTACATTCAAAGATATGGCCATGGAAATTGGAGGGCACTCCCCAAACAAGCTGGTATATTGATATTCTTGAGTTCTCTGTTTAATAATCTTCATCTTGGGTTATCTTGGAAAGCAAAGATATGTTTAGTTCATATCAATTTTGGTGAATTGAAAACTGTTTTCTTCAGGTTTACCAAGATGTGGAAAGAGTTGCAGGCTTCGATGGATAAATTACTTGAGGCCAGACATTAAACGAGGAAACTTCACCAATAAGGAAGAAGAAACTATCTTTCAGCTGCATCAAGTTCTTGGCAATAGGAGCGTACAGATTGGTTTGCCATTTCCTTTTTCTAGCAATAAGAGTTCCATCCAACATGAAATAATATTGGATCATAATTGTTAGTGAAGACTATAATTTATCAGAATTTGACTATTTTGCTTCTCTGTCAATTGCTAAATTCAATCCCTTTATCCGTGTACACAAGTTAGTTCAATTGGCAAGAAGACAAGTTTCTTTTCTTTGTTAACCTAGTTTCGATTTTTGTGAGAAACATTTCACGAACAAAATTTTAAATGCATCAAGTTAACTATATCCTTAAAATTGCGCATCCCTTTTAATAGAATGATGAGTTCTTCCTCCAAAGCTCAAAACCAATTACATTTGGAAAACAATATTTTCCATAATTAATTTCAAACTCAACATTATTATTTGATGTTAATTAATTAAATTTACCTATGTAATTAGGTATGATACAACTTTATAATTAGCTCTATAGCAGATGTTATGGTTAAGCATAAAATCTAATGTAAATTTCTTTGATCTCCAGATGGTCTGCCATTGCAGCAAGATTACCAGGGAGAACAGATAATGAGGTTAAGAACTACTGGCATGGCCATTTGAAGAAAAAACTTAAACAAAGGTCGACTGCAATAGAACAAGGTTTCGGATCGACAGATCGACAAGAAATCAAGGAAGCAAGAATACTATTGCAGCACGATCAGTTCAGAGATAGAAGTTCTAGCTTAAACTTAAAGCCATTAATTTCCTCACAAGACTCCCCGGAATCAACTTGTTTAGCAACAATTGAGCAGCCTGATGAATTGGCCTTGTCCAGGGAACAACAAGGAGCAGTACTGGAGGCTGCAGGAGTTAAACTTCCATTTTCAGCGCTGGAAACCTTGAAGATCAATGGCTCCTATAATGTTGATGCTAACAGGGATTTTTGGTTCAAACTTTTCATGGAAAACTCGAATGAAGTGCATGAAAATTTAGGAAATTTTGGGTAGATTTCCTAATTAGCAACTACATTTTCCTTGTTTTATGCATGATTTTCTCCTTTGTATGGTTTTTCCCAGTGTGTTTATTATCCAAATAAATTTCGCCAGTTCATAATTCAGCAATAATTCTCTTTATCACATGTTTTAAAAATAATTATTATTACAAAACTCTAGATATAAAAAGAATTATATGAAACAGTTACATGATGTCAGTAAATATACTTTTCATTTAAATCATAGTATATTATCACATTATTTAAAAAAATTAATAAATATATTAAAATAAATATTTACTATTTAATTATCACATGTAATGTGTAATAAATGATTAATTTTTTCTAATAATGTGATTATATGGTATAATTTAAATAAAAGTGATATATACTAATGTAGTGTAACCATTTCATATGATATTTTATCTAACTCGATTAGTTTATATAATAACCTTTCAAGTGAATTTAATAAATTTAAAATTTAAATTCTTAATATTTATAATTATTTTTTTATCCTCAAATTGTAACTCTTTATAAGAAAAATAATTACTGTTACCATCAAAATATTTTTACCATAACAAGGCTTCTCAATTGTCATATAAAGTTTAAAGTGAAATTTTGTGTTTGATTTTGGCATATGGTCTTAGGCCAGAAGGTTTTAAAATAAAATTATATAATGAAAAAAATTCAGAAATTATATAGTGAAAAAATTCAGAAATTGTTATTATCAACATAGAAAAGATTTATGTACGAAGGGGTCGGACTGAAAAAAAAAACTATTTGAAGATGCTTAGGTGTCAAGTTCTTATTGGATATATAAGAAAAATTTTAAGACATTCACGGTGGGACTCGAACGCACAATCTCCATGAATTTCTCTGATTTTGAAATAATAAAATCCGTAACAGAGAGCCCTTTAAGTTGGAACACTAAAAACCAATTTAAAAAAAAAAAAAAAAACCCTACAAAACCCTCTGCAAAACTTGCAAAAACAAAAGCAAAAATTATTTGGTTGAATCTAAAATCAAGTCTAACTATGGCATTGTCAATCTCCAATGTTTTTCACTGCCCAAAACCTAAAATTTCACCACGGAATTCTATGCTCAACTCTTCAATCTCCATGCTCTCATCTTCTTTTGTTAGGTAATACTGATATTTCTTCTGTTTATTCATTTACCGTCACTTTTGCCCAGTTATTGGTGTTGGGTTCCCAAGAAAACAGAGGTAATGGAAGAAAGTTTTGATTTTTAATGTTGAGAAATGGAAATTGTTAGTTTGTTATTGGGCGGTGAGTTCAATTTAGCCGCAGTTAGCCAAATTTAGTCTTACTCTTCCATTCATATGAAATAAGCTTATTTCTTTATTGGAAATTTGTATGACTCTTTTGGGATAATAATGACTGTAATTCGCTTGTTTCAATCATTTGTTTCTTCGGTTGCAATCGAAACTGAATACACATTTGAAAGTAAAGTAGTTTAAGTTTTATTTTTTTTCATTCTTGTCATTGAGGCAGAGTCCATAAAGCTTTTTGTTTTCAATGGAGCTTTAACCTTATATAAGAATTTTATTACCATAAATATACTTTAGGCTTATTTGGTTTTTCATGCTGTGAACTTGTAACTAACAGTGCAAAGCCCTTGAACTGATCAGGTTTCCTGGGAGATTTGCTTTTCCAAGGAGTAAAATCGTGATTTGTGCTGCTTCATCTGGAGCAGGAAGCGCTAATCCAGATGGTGACTTAAACCCTTATGAGGTACTTTTAACTCTTGCCGGTTGGTCCATTTGGATATCAGAGATTCCACTTACTAGTGACTGGTTTATTGGGTATTTCAAATGCTTTAATGTTTCAGGTTCTTGGTGTGAGCCCTATTGAGGGATTTGAAAAGGTCAAGCAAGTGTATACAAGAAAACGCAAAGAGGCTGACAAGAGAGGTGATGAGGCTACTGCTGCACTAGTAGGTTACAACTCTCCTAAAATCTAAATGTTGAAGAATGTCCTGCTCCTAACATATTAAATTACCAGTACGAAAATCTGGATATCGAATTTTTGCGTACTTTTGGGGCCCTTATGGATTGCTAATCTATTATTTCCAGCTTGAGAAGGCATATGACAAACTCATGATGGCACAATTAATGAATCGGAAGAAGGGTGTGACATACGGTTCATTTAAGGTACGTAGTTGATGATACTTAATATAATACCTTTGTCTGATTTGTGAAAACAACATTAAATATTCAGTCTTTCACGCATTTGTATCTTAGAAGGTTTGAGAAATCAAATTGTTAGATGCCACTTTGTCTAACATGGTTCTGTAAGCATGTATAAGTGTAATGTTATTCTTTATGGAAGAGAAGATAATTTGCATGACCGAACACTAAATCTGTTTCTTTCCCATGGATATAAAGGATGTTGTTGTAGGACAATTGGTGTTCTTAAGCTGTTGCTATACTATATATAAATGAAGTAAGATTAAAAAAATTGAATGAAAGATTGGAGGCTCCAACATTAGGGGGCACTGCCTTCTCTTTTGGGGGGAGAGCAATTGGTTGGTTGTTAATAATATCTATAGACTATTGAATTTTGTACCTTGTGTTTCGTCTTAAGCTGATCATTCTGTTTATGTGTTCATTTTTCTAATTTCAGGTTTCAAAGGATGTGAAATATGCTGATAAGCTGCCAATTGTACCATGGGGGCCAAGGTTTTGTAATTGCTCATGAGTAGAATATTTTTGTATTAAACTGGCTCATGTTGATTACTTGCTTTTAGCTATTTGCTGCCATAATGGTCTATTCATTTTTAGTCTTTACCACCCATGGTTGTCGATGACAGCTAAAAACAAGAGAGAGCTACTCTTGAGGTAGGGCGGGAAAAATGATAGTCATGCCGCATTAATCTTTGAGTGGAAGACTGTGTTGGAAAATTTTGTGAAGTTTTTTTTATTACTTTATTTTGTTTAGTTGTGGTAGAGAAAACTCAAATTTGTTTTGGCCCAATCTTACTCCAATACTTATTATGAGTTATGACTCTTTAGCAGTATTATGTAGTCTTAGTGATCGTATATGCTCTTGACATGAAATTATGATGTGCTTTCAGGTTCACCAAGTCTAGCGTACAAGATATGCGTATCAACCTGGCAATTTCTGCTGTATTTGTAAGTAGACTAGATGATGGATCTTCGGCACCCTTGTTCAATTTTTATAGCAAATTCTAAAATAGCATTATATATACTAAAGAAAGGAGTCATATGTATTCTGTGTAATAAACCATCAAATTTAGACATTGATATTGTAATAACTATGGCACTTTCTTTCTTTCTTTCATTTTCCTTTCCATCTCATCTTTCACTTGTTTCTGTGCAGACGGCTTGGATTGTAATACAGCGCATTGCTGAATATAAACCTTTGCAGTTTTTGGCTTTTGCATTTGTGTATCGAATTTTTGAGAAATTAAAAGCCTCTGAACCACCAGTATCACCAACGTATACGGTGAGCCATATTTAAAAAAGCCTACAGGCATCTTTTATTCAAAATCATGGTGTCCTATAATTAGTACCTTTGACTGACTTCTAGAAGCAGTGCCATTTTTTAGTTTGTTGATTATTGAAGTTTATGTTGACTGCAGGAAGAAGGTGAAGATGAAGGGCGGGCCCTGCGAATGGGAAAAAGACTTCTTCGTTCTCTTGCACTAGTTTTTGGTTGTATTGCTCTGTCCTCTCTGGTACGAGATGTTGCTCAACTTTTAATTCGATCTTCACTAAAGCTCACCAGTTAGAACCTTGCTCCTATGGGTCTTATAATTAGATATCTCCTTTTATATTATGAGTTCCTTTTGCATTTTCTTGTCTGTCAAAAGACTTTAAAAATGTTGCTTCTAGCTTCATTTTCTCCACTTTGTAGCCTCATTAATGATTCTGATTGAATTTCTTGCAGGCATACACAGGTCTTTTGAATTTGATCGAGTATGTTGGCAGTTATATACCTGCTGTTCTCTACAATAACCAGGTAAGGACATTGAGCTTTGTCATAAAAAATAGGTTTATTTTTTGAATTAATTTCCTATCTTCTACACTTCATAGGCCTCATAATTCATAATGCATTATGAACATAGAATCCTGTTAAGTGGGGATATCTTCCGTCGCTTAATTTCGGGGCTAGTTGCAGCCTTATGTTCAACTTGGGTTTTTTGACCTTTCGCCAATCAATTTTAGGTTAGGTGTTTAACAAATGTATATAAACACACATTGCAAACTTTGGAAAGCTTAAGTTTAGCTCTCAAGATTGGCTGGCAGTGTTTTAGAGTTTCGACGACTTAATTCATCGGTTGCAAGTCCAAGCTCAGTCTGACATAAATGATATACATATCTCATTTGATTCAGCCAAGTGATGATTTTTCATGTGCAGGAACTCATAGTCACCACAGCATCGGCAGTCGCCCTATACTTTGTGGCATCGTACTATAGGTGATGAGTTTAATGGAGTTCAGATTGAGGAATCGTTCAGAAGTTGATAGTTTTGAAGCTTGTTTCGTTCTGTTAATTTTAGCTCTCCAATTTTGTCAAATAATATACAAACTCTTACAATGTTGAAAATTAAGGGGGAAACATAGTTTTGCTTCTAATATAACATCCATCTGTTTGGCCTTTAAAATTTTTAGAGATGCATATGATACTTAGCTGTCATATTGAGAAATTCCTGCTTTATTATTATTATTAGCAAAGGGTACTAAAATTATTAAAAAGGTTACCAAAATTATACAAAAAATTATTAAACTTACATCAAACGTTATTCAAATAAAAATTATCATGTTATATTAAAGATTAACAAATTACATAAAATGTTATAGTATCTTTCAGAAAAAAAAAAAAATTAAATGAGAGGAGGTCACTCTATTTTAGGGTTAAGGAATTTTGCAAGTCTCGCAAAAATCGAATTTAAATTTTATAAGCAAAGTATTTAATTTTTATCAACTCAGCTAATCCCTTAATGATATACCTGAGAAGATAATTATATCTTTCTTGGTGTTAAAGGACATAATTATATCATAGAAGTAATTATTTGTAATGGGCCGGGTTAAAAATGCCAAGCTAGTTCGGCCCGAAATTAGTTTCGAGCTTGTCCATGTTTGCAATTTCAGTCCACCAACTGCCCAAAAAAAAAAAAAAATCATGGATTGAGGGTCCTACTTTAATTATGCAAACTTTGAGGGGTCAAATAAAAATTTTATAAGATTATGATTCCCTTTTCTTCCTCCACGGTTGCCATAAACGTTTCCACTCAATAATAAAGGGTTTACAGATATTGAAGTTCAGGTATTGAAATTCAGGGCTTTGCCCGAAAAAGAAATTGAAAATCAGGGCTTTTCAATCGAAGAACATAGGGTTTATAATTTAATTTTTATTTCAATTAAATCCTTCAAGGCGGAGTAAGGGAAAACAAAAAAAAAAAAAGTGAGCGAAAATGAGGATTATGATCAAAGGAGGAGTATGGAAGAACACGGAGGATGAGATATTGAAAGCGGCGGTTATGAAATATGGGAAGAATCAATGGGCTCGAATTTCTTCTTTACTTGTTCGTAAATCTGCTAAGCAATGTAAAGCTCGTTGGTATGAGTGGCTCGACCCTTCCATCAAAAAGGTAAATGTCTTTTCATTTCTTTTCCTTTAAACAAAATTTAATCTTTTTTTACTTGGGTTTGTTTCAAAGTTTGAGTATTAATTGTAATTTTACGTTGCTTAATGTTCCTTATCTTAGTTGGGTTTCTTCTTAAAAGACCAAATCAATTTTGGGTATTTAAGCTTTTCAGTCTTTCGATTAGTAAGTTGGCAAAGGTAAGAACCAAGCGCAGTCTAATTATTAGGAATTGAAGCCTTTAGGTGCACAAATTGCAAGTTGCATTCTTGCTGAAAGATAGGTATTATTGTTTCTCTTTGTGTTGGATTAATAAGGTTAACTGAATTGTTTTTACTTGATTCCTTTTGGTGAAGAAAACTAGCAGTAATTTGCATATTTAGTTTGATAAAAATAAGAACTTTGAAGTGATAATTTGTGTTTTTGTGATATATGTAGACCGAGTGGACTAGAGAAGAGGATGAAAAACTGCTTCATCTTGCTAAGCTCATGCCAACACAATGGAGAACGATTGCGCCAATTGTTGGTCGGACTCCATCTCAGTGTCTTGAGCGGTATGAGAAACTCCTTGATGCAGCCTGTGCTAGAGATGAAAATTATGAGCCAGGTGATGACCCCAGGAAATTGCGTCCTGGAGAGATTGACCCAAACCCTGAATCAAAGCCTGCACGTCCAGATCCTGTTGATATGGATGAGGATGAGAAGGAAATGCTTTCTGAAGCTCGTGCTCGGTTAGCTAATACTAGGGGCAAGAAGGCGAAGAGGAAAGCTAGGGAGAAACAGCTTGAAGAGGCTAGGAGGCTTGCTTCTTTGCAGAAAAGGAGGGAGCTTAAGGCTGCTGGAATTGATACAAGGCAAAGGAAGAGGAAAAGGAAGGGAATTGATTATAATGCAGAAATTCCCTTTGAGAAGAGGCCTCCTTCGGGCTTTTATGATGTTGCTGATGAAGATAGACCCGTGGAACAGCCTAAGTTCCCTACCACCATCGAAGAACTTGAGGGAAAAAGAAGAGTTGATATAGAAGCACAGTTGAGAAAGCAGGATATTGCAAAAAATAAAATTGCTCAGAGGCAGGATGCCCCATCAGCAATAGTGCAGGCCAACAAGCTGAATGATCCAGAAACAGTGAGGAAGAGATCAAAACTTATGCTACCATCACCTCAGATTTCCGATCATGAATTGGAGGAGATTGCAAAGATGGGGTATGCCAGTGATCTTCTTTCAGGTAATGAGGAACTGGCGGAAGGGAGTGGTGCAACTCGTGCTCTTCTCACAAATTATTCCCAGACACCACGGCTGGGAATGACACCTTTACGGACCCCACAAAGAACACCTGCTGGAAAAGGTGATGCTATCATGATGGAAGCTGAAAATCTGGCTAGGTTGAGAGAGTCCCAGACACCCTTACTTGGTGGAGAAAACCCAGAGCTGCACCCTTCAGATTTCTCAGGGGTCACTCCTAAAACACAGATCCAAACACCAAATCCAATGTCGACTCCGGCTGCAACTCCTGGAGGTGCAGGTCTTACTCCTAGAATTGGAATGACACCATCAAGGGATGGTTATTCTTTTGGTTTGACCCCTAAAGGAACTCCCATCAGGGATGAGCTCCACATAAATGAAGACATGGACCTGCATGACACTGCCAAACTTGAGCAGCGGAGACAAGCTGATATAAGAAGGAACTTGCAATCTGGACTCAGTAGTCTTCCACAGCCAAAGAATGAGTACCAAATAGTCATTCAACCACCTGCAGAAGATAGTGAAGAACCAGAGGAGAAGATTGAAGAAGACATGTCTGATCAGATAGCAAGAGAAAGGTTTGAGGAAGAAGCAAGGCAGCAGGCATTACTTAAGAAGAGATCAAAAGTGTTGCAGAGGGAGCTTCCTAGACCTCCTAGTGCCTCCCTAGAACTAATTAGAGATTCTTTGATGAGGACTGACGGAGACAAAAGTTCTTTTGTTCCTCCTACTTCAATTGAGCAGGCTGATGAAATGATAAGGAAGGAGCTTCTGCTCTTGCTGGAGCACGACAATGCTAAGTATCCACTTAATGAAAAGTCAAATAAGGCGAAGAAAAAAGGTGCCAAGTGTCCTCCAAATGGATCTATTCCCAGTATAGAAGATTTTGAAGAGGAAATGGAAGAGGTTCGTCATGCTTTTCTCTGGTTATGTTGCCTTAATTTCCTTCTTTCTTATGCAATTTATGTTTCTGAACCTTAGTGAATTCACAGGACATTATCATCATACTCAATGTTTCTTATTAATTTAAGAATTTTTCATTTTGGTGCTTGATATAGAATTGAGTTGAGTTTTTTGATATAAATTGCCTATCACAGATTCTTTATTAAGGAGTTCAAACCACCCAAAATCTCATACAAGCAGTTGAAAAGTGATGTTCATTTGCTTGTACATTATAAATATTTTAGTGTCTGTAATTTTTGCAGTCTATAACTGTCGTGCATGTTGCACAGCACTTAAGGTCTTGCACTCTAAATTCCATCTGCTGAACACCAAATACTTCTCACTTTTCGGATTCAGGTCCCTGTCAGCATGATCCTGAGATTCTTTTTCTTTTAGGGTCATGATCCTTGACTTTTGTAATATCAGAGATGTTTTCTTATCATAACTGATGATGATGAGCCTTTTGCTAACTGACAAATGACCTTATTTTTCTTGATAGGCTGATTCCTTGATTAAGGAGGAGGCTGAATTTCTTCGTGTGGCAATGGGGCACGAAAATGAATCGCTTGATGATTTTGTGGAAGCACATAATACTTGCCTAAATGATCTAATGTACTTCCCTACTCGTAATGCTTATGGTCTAGCAAGTGTTGCTGGAAATATGGAGAAACTTGCGGCCCTGCAGACTGAATTTGACATTGTGAAAAGGAAGATGGATAATGATAAGTCGAAGGCAGAAAGCATGGAGAAGAAGTACAATGTTCTCACACAGGGTTATGAGGTACATCAGTAGATATATGCGGATAATTTTCATTAATAATTTGTTTCTACTACCATCATTTTAATTTTTTTTGCAACTTGTAGCATGCGAGTTAGAAATTCTATCATGCACTTTCTGTTATTAGATTTCATTGATAATTTTGGTAGTGCTTAATAACATTTACAGAAGTCTTTATACAGCATGTTTTCTTTATATGTGTTGGAATGCAGAAAGCCTTATGCCTTGAGATCCGTGTTGGGGAGTATGGCTGTGGAATTATGTACTTGTTGGATTAGAGTAGGATGGGACTATAATTGAACAATTAGCATGTAAAGAAGTATCTCTATAAAGAACAGGATTTAATGTTTCTGAGTGAAAGGTTGTTTTAAATCCGCTTTTTTCCCACTATTGATAGTTTCAGGCTTATTTTAAGATTTTCTAGAGAGGCCTATAATGTATCATTGTTTAGGTTTTCATTTTTTCTTCCATTTCTAAAATTTGGTGATTTTTGATGTGGTATGAGAAAACCTCTCAAGAGTCTGGGGTGGAGTCCTGATAATTTACCTTATGAAGGCCATTTTAGTAGTTTATTTGAATAGAATGTAGGTCATCATTCTTATTCATTCTAATGCAGAACTTAGAACTAAGTATTTTAGTAATACTTAATGGATGATAGTCGCTTCTATCCAGCTTCTAGCAAATAAATTAATGAACTCACTATTTTATTCGAAAGATATACATGTAGCTAAAAAGTAATTGATTAAATCTTATATTCTTTGAGATTTCAATTTTCATGTGCCCTATATTGGAAATTATAATATCATACTTTTCGTTTTGGAACTTGTTTGAAATTTCAATTCCTGTTGTACTAAACAATTGACAATTTTGATGATCAGAGACGGGCTGTAACTCTTTGGCGTCAGATTGAGTCAACCTTTAAGCTGATGGATACTGCAGGAACAGAACTAGAGTGTTTTCAAGCATTACAAAAGCAGGAGCAGTTAGCGGCATCACACAGAATAAATGGTATCTGGGAGGAAGTTCAGAAGCAGAAGGAGCTCGAACAAACCTTACAAAGACGCTATGGGAATCTCATAGCTGAGTTAGAAAGGATACAAAATCTCGTGAATGTATACAGAGTACAAGCACAAAAACAAGAAGAGGCAGCTGAAAAGGATTGTGCACTTGAGTTGTCTGAGGCTGTAGCAAGTCAAGCTGATGTGCCCAGCTCAGGACTTTCAGAGTCTGCACCTTCCTCAGAGCATGTTGACTCTTCTCTTGATGGCCATCCTAGCCTGAAAGGTGATATGAATATCGATTCAGGAAAAGAACATGCTACTATGGATATGGAAAAAGATGGAAGCATGTCTGTAAATGTGCCTTTGGTTGTGGAAGACATAGGAGATAATATCACAAAGACACTTAATGGGATGACTGAAGATGCCGTAACAAGTCCTGACGGTGCTGCAGAATCTAGAAATCCTGATTCAGTTTCTACCGAACAGGAAAGCATCCAAGAAATGCTTGAAGAAGGTTATACTGACCACACCAAGGTTGACAATTCTTCTGTCTTGGGTGGAGATGCTGCTGAAAAACAAACTGGAATGGAGGAATAGCTTTTTTAGCTCTGAACAAGTGTCAAGTTTTATTGGACAATGAGAGACTAATCATGAAATTCTTCCCCATACAAGTAGTATTCAGGCATTGATGGATCCATATCTGCTTCTGTATTTTTATAAATGGGAAATATTCCATGGATAGTAGCTATGCTGGAGCCAAGCTTATTCTGTGTAATTTTTTCATCTCTGCGTTTTCCAGTGCTAGAGATTTTTGTTTCTCTTAGAAGAGACCTGGAAAAGAAATACAGGTAACGTTTAACACGTGATTATTATCAGATTTAAGGAACTGTTTCAGTTTTTTTTTTTTTATGACATCCTGATTCTCACCCTTTTACTTTCTACGATCTCTTTTTTTCATTGGAGGTCCAGGGGTGAAAAACATGGACCTGTCATTGGTAGCTTTGGTATAACATCTCTTTTCCCTTGGACTTAACTCACCAGCACCTCAAATTTCTACTTACCTGGTTTTCACAAGAGGCAATGATGTTGTAGATAGGTTAGGCACTTTATTTATATTCTTGTATTCCTATAATTTGTCGGAATTTTCTTTCTTTACCCAAAATGAATGTTAGGAAAGTTGAAAATTTATTTTCCACTGGACCCAGGTTATCCCCTTAGGGTTGATCCAGCTTCTTTTGATTGACAATGGACATCCCAAATCCAAAAGAAGGCATTGTATCTGATTTAAAAGTCTGCATTATATTAAATTGTTGGTTACAAATTGTTTTTTGTTTTCTGAGAACTGACAAGAAAGCAGTCAAAGCCAGTCCTCCATATCCAATTGAGTCATTATCTAGTTATGGCCACATAAGGGAGGAGTCAGAGTTTCACTATTTCAGCATCCAATTTGTATACCTAATATTCCAATTCCTAAGCAGCCATACCTTGAAGAATACAAACCAAAAGGAACACTTCTAGTTGGATAAGCTTTGCTTGAGCCACCTTTTTAGCCATCCCATAAATAGCCTTCCTCCCTCTTTCCTTCTTAGTATCTCTTTACAATCCTCATTAACATTTTCTACTCCCCTTAGTCTCAAGCAGGTATGAATGTAATGTCATTTATTACATAACAAACTAAATGCTTCTCTCAAGACTGTTATTTTCATGCTGTAAATGATTTAAGTCATTGCGCATGTTCTTACCAATTACCATTCAAGGTGTAGAAAACATCGAAAACGATTTCTGCTGCCTCAATTTTAGAGAATATATATATATATATATATATATATATATCTATGTATGTATTAGGTTGGCTTAGTTGATATCAATATGTCAGGATTATTGTAGTAAGGTCACTGTAGGCTGTAGCAAAAACATAATTTCATAAGAATCAGCCCAAGAATTTGCGTTCATATCAAGATAATATTTTAAGTTTTGTCTTTTGAGTTGGAAGATTCTTCAGTTTTATTTATAATTCATTAAGTTTTCGGATGCTTTAAATTCATTTTTATTTAGTACTTATTGGCAGCCTTTGTGGGTTTTTTTTTTTTTTTTTTTAATTTGTCTTTCCAAACCATGATCTAGTATAGCTAGGTAGGATTAAATTATGGAATATGATTTGTTAAATCTTTGATTCCATTGGTCACTATTAACTTTGTTTGAAAGAAAATTCTTTGAGGTACGTGTACAAAATTGACTGATCAGCCAGGCCTTTCTTGTTCGGTTGTTCCCCGTGGGTTTGTTTGCTTTTCATTCTGATGTTGATTTCCCATGGACTAGAATCCACCGTTCCACAAATTCTTGAATGTCTCATTTAAATCATCTTTTAATTTTTCGTTGATAAAGAACAAGGCAACACTATCTGACTAATTGTTTCAAAAAATGACTTTGAATCCAGCCCCTAATGAAAAAAGTTTGTGAGGATCACCCAGAAAAGATGAAGAAATCAATTATGACTTATTCAAAATTTTCAAACATTATTTCAATCCAACTACGTAACTCCCCAACAAATTAGGAATGCCAAAAGGAAACTTTCTTTTTGGCAATAGTAACAATTGCCAGCAAGGTTAACAATTAGAACCAAAAGATAATAAAAACAAAAGCTGAATTGGGCCACTAATGCATATAGTAGATTCTTTCATGGAAACCAAACGTTAAAGAAAGAAACAAAAAAGAGAGTGTAGTTGAGTCTATCCAATTCTAAAGTAGGTAATTTTTGGTGTGCACATACTCTTAAAGACATGAATTCACAGACAATATAAAAATTTATGAGAAAAAAAAAAACTAGGAATTTACAAAGTTGAGTTTGTTTGGATTTTGGATTGTTGTTCAGCACTTTGTTAGTCATCTTATTTTATGGGTTATTTAGAAGTATAAAACCGTATTAAGGTATTAATGTTTTATATTAATTTTTCATGTCAAGTTGGTTTATTGAATTTTCTCGTGTTTTTTAGAGAAAGTTGTTTTGAGTTTTGCTATAAAAGGTAAGTGTTTGAGGCCTAAGGGGTTATAACTTATAATTCCATGATTCTTGAAATTTCTTTCGATGGTAAAGCTTTTTTTTTTCCTTTTTGGTTTTCTCTTTTGCATGTAGTATATTTTTTTGTAAGTTGTGAAATTTTTTGTTTGTTAAAGGTTCTAATGATTTTTATTTTTTTTTGCAGAAAGTAAGAATCTATTCAATTGTTTCCGTCAAGGAAGTTTGCTGAAATTTTGAGTTTTCAAGGAAAGCCAGAGACAAATTTCGGATTATTTTGTTCTCGGTTGTAAGGCAAACAACAAGAAGAGCTTGAACTGGTAAAATATGGCCATCTCTCTCTCTGTTTCTATATGCATGAGTATAGGAAAGTAAGGGCACAAGCATGCTCTTTAATGGGTTTTTACATTTCTTGAATTTCCCATCGTTTTTTAATGGATGGATTTCTTGGGTTTCCATTAGACTTGTTCAACGTGTTGTCTGGCATGGTATAAATTTCCATGTTAAATGGCTAAGGCAAGGAAATCACGTATACTGAAACCTTGCTGGTGTTTTTTACCATAACAATTCTAGAAAAACAAGCACTAGGACAAATTTACTCCTGAATGGAGGGCAATCAATGAAATCTAAATGGTCTCACTCTGATGTTATTGGAAAATGGTTACAGAAAAGCAATATTGTAAGGATCAATTTGCTTTATGTTAATGAGTATTAGATTCGTTTGAGTTGCTTTTCTTTGGGGGGGGCATAGACTAATTTTCTTCTGGGATTAATTTCAGCAACAATGGTGACCAGAACAGTGGATCTTCGTTCAGATACAGTTACAAAACCAACCGAGGCAATGAGGGCTGCAATGGCAACTGCTGAAGTTGATGATGATGTCTTGGGTGCTGACCCGACTGCGTTCCAGTTAGAATCAGAGGTGGCAAAGATCATGGGCAAGGAAGCTGGTCTATTTGTTCCATCAGGCACTATGGGTAACCTCATTAGTGTTCTTGTTCATTGTGATATAAGGGGAAGTGAAGTCATTCTTGGAGACAATTCCCATATCCATATTTATGAGAATGGTGGTATTTCAACAATTGGAGGTGTACATCCAAGGCCAGTGAAGAATAATAAAGATGGAACAATGGACATCGATTTGATTGAAGCCGCCATTAGAGACCCAAGAGGAGAGCTAGTGTACCCAACTACCAGGCTGATTTGCTTGGAAAATTCACATGCAAAGTAAGATTTATTATTGTTTATGAAATCCTTTTAATTTCTGTTGGACAATGATATCATATGCACTTTAAATAATTCGATTGTTCTATGTTTTCAATGGCCATACCTCCAGGCTGTGTTTCACAATTTTTTATTGGGTGGGTTAGAATTGTGGCTGATTTTTAATTTTTAGAAATTTCTCATGGCTGTTCCTACTTGCATTCTGGACCTAAAATATCCTTATTAAACATGAGCATTTAAGGGAAATCATCAGCATCATTTCCAGACTTAAGATGTGCATTTTGGCTATATGCTGTGATTGGAGGGACAGGAACCAACATTTTTCTTACATTGCTTCCATTATGTTTCTGTAGATATTATGTCATTATATTGACTTCAGTTGAAGTTCTTAAATGATTTGTTTCTCCCTTTTCAGTTACTTCACTCTCACTTTATCCCTTGTTGGCTGTAATATCTTAAGAGTTTTCTTTTACTCAATGCAGCACTGGTGGCAGATGCTTGTCTGTGGAATACACAGACAAAGTTGGTGAGCTAGCTAAGAAGCATGGTTTGAAGCTTCACATTGATGGGGCTCGCATTTTCAATGCATCCGTGGTGAGTAAAACATTTTATACTTGGAGTTTATTGTTACTGCTTGGAATTGTATGGTATGCAGATCTATCTTCAATATGAAGCTTCATATAAAGGAAATTTATTCCCCAATCTCCAGGCACAGAATTTTCTGTTAAAGTTGAAAGTTTGAGGAAACCTTTTAATCAAACATTAGAACAGCCTATATGCTAACTGATTATAGCCTTCCATCGGTGTGCATGTCCGTGTAATTAAATGAACATGTGACAATCATCTGCCTAATGTCTAACTAAAGGATTGGTCTGCCAGGCACTTGGAGTTCCTGTTCACCGGCTTGTGCAAGCTGCTGATTCAGTCTCGGTATGCTTTGTGTTCAATATTCTTATTAGTTTACTTAATCGTTGTTTCAATTGTTATACTATACTTCATCTTAATTTGCAGCTTTTTCTTTTGCCAAATTTACATCTTTATTCTGAAAAGTTCTTAATCTATAAATAATGGATTTAGACAATTCATCTCGTGTTGGTAAGGGACTCTTCTTTTTCCATTGATTTTGTATGCGTAGGTATGTCTATCAAAAGGCTTGGGTGCTCCAGTTGGATCAGTTATTGTTGGTTCCAAAAGCTTTATTACCAAGGTAAAATCAAAAGTTTTGCGGCTAAAAAACCTCTGCTAACTATGAAATTTATCCTCAAAACTCCTTTTTCTTCTTTTCTTTTTTTTTTAGGCTAGAAGACTTCGGAAGACCTTAGGTGGTGGGATGAGGCAACTTGGTTTCATTTGTGCTGCTGCTTTTGTTGCATTGAAGGAGAATGTTGGAAAGCTTGAGGGTGATCACAAGAAAGCAAAGGTGTTAGCAGGTAAACTATTGGTTTCAATTGATTATATATGCCAAAGTTTTTGGTCTGGAAGAACAGTAATTACTTTTCTCTGGTGCTTCATCTTGAACTTGTAAAATTCATGGACTTTACGTTGGTTTTGTATGGTTTCAGAGGGGCTAAATCAAATTAAAGGTCTAAGAGTGGATGTTGCTGCAGTGGAAACCAACATCGTGAGTATGCTTTTTATTAAACCTGTATTAATGACAATCTTTTCCTCTGCTATGCAGTCTGGATTGGTGGTTTTATGATTCGAGCTGCGATTCAGTCTATTCTGTAAAGAGTAAAACAAGTTACCATCCTGTTTTTACTTGTTGCTACCATGTTCACCGGAGAAATACCGGAAAACTGAATTTAAAAATTAAAAACAAAATGCCTCAAATGAAAGTTGCATCAGACCACCGCAGATGTTTAATTGCCAACTGGTAAAAACGAAAGTTCTTAATAATTACCATGCTTATATTCTTCTTATAACTGTGTTTCACCAGATATATTTTGACATAGTGGAGGGATCAAAAATCACAGCAGAGAAAATATACAAGCATTTAGAGGAACATGGTGTACTTGTGATGCCAGAGGGCCCATCCAGGTCAGTATACTACTCCGTCAAAAATCACTCAGGATTCCTGAAACTTATCTGCTTATTATATTCTTGTAGATTTCAATTGCTCAGAAACCAATTCAACTTGAATGTGTAACTCGAACCAAGTAAAAACGACCGAAGTTCCTCCCCTTCTTAATGTACTAACATACAGCTGAAAGTCTGGAGGAACATAAGAACCGATCATGTCTGGATATTACCTGTATTTTACCTGAAAGAAATTCAATGGTAGCACCAGAGCAGTATTAAATATTGAGTAAAATATGGCTTCCAAAACTAGCTAGAGTTCACTTTTCCGACGGTTATCACCGCTGGACAGTAGATTAATGCCGGTTTTTCTGTCGATTCAGGATGAGGATTGTCCTTCACCACCAAATTTCAGCAAGTGATGTGCAGTACACTTTGTCATGCTTTCAGGTGATCAACATCATTCCTGTTTCCTGCCTGTTGATCCATGTACTTATAATGTCTACTTATTCTTCCATTTTTGAATATTGCAGCAAGCTTTCACTGGAGTGCAAGAAGAAAATAGCAACTGAGTTAGAAATTGCTGCTCCTCTAATTACCTAAAGATCATTTCCTGATTTTTCAATGGAACCGATTGAACTCAGGAACATGATCGATCAGATTATAATAAATTACAGATTATCATAAATTATGTTAATCCATTTGTATTAAACTTCAGATTCCATCATTGTCTCTTTGTAGCCTATAAGGCTATAACCTTTGTCATACCTTGGCAAACTAAAGCACCAAGTTTAATCTCATAATAATAAAGCATAGTTTTCTTATATTAGGTAAAATTTTCTCTCTATCTTACATGAAAGAATTGGAATTGGCAATGAATCATGCAGATGCAAGGATTTAGGGACCCTGGGGGCATATTATCCCTCTGGATTGGGACCTGTCAGGTCCTCACCAAGAAATTTTTTGTGCAATTCCTTAACATAAAAGCCCCATTAAATATGATTAGACATTGGACCGGGCGTACTTGTGAATCATCAACTTAATTTGTTGCACTTCTGTAAATAAGAAAGCAAGTTTTTCTTTAGGTTGGATACTGGTGTCAATGTTGGCTGAAATGTACCACTCATCCTTTTTTTTTTCCTATACATTTGGACCATCCGATGAAATTACTCGATGTTATTTTTTAAATACAATTGTATAAATTAATTAAAATAAATCTTAAATTTAAATTTAATAATAATGATTAGGCTGGATTTAGATTGATGACACATTAATTTATATTTGATATAGAAAACATTATAAACAAAAATCTTACATGCATTCCACCCAATACTTCTTTTTAACCTTTATAACCATGCCACCAATAGATTGTACTTGTCTATGGTGATTGAATTATAGTTTTGTAATGAAAAAGGTAAGACGTGTATGTAAAATGAACAAAGCATGTAAAATATTGTCCTTAATCTAATTGAGTGACAATGACAAGGAATGTTTTAAAGGGTGATGACTTTGTGCTTACATAGGGACACAACTATGTAAGAAGACAAGCTTAACTTTCAAGTTTCAAGATTTTTTACCATACCAAGATTTAAAATATATACATATATATATATATATCATATATGTTCATGAATCGGATCGAATTAAATTTGAATCGAATTCATACTTAATATTTAAATATGATTCAATTCTATATTTCAGATTTCAAAATTTTTTCATTCACATATATATAATTACAATATTCTAATTATATATAGATTATTCGGGTCGGATTACATCAAATTTAGATTTAATTTTTATTCAAAATTCAATTTAAAATTTAAACAGATTTAAAAATTATGTTTAAACTCATTTAACGAGTTTTAATTTTTATCTACACTTTTTTAAAAATTTGGACAAATCTTTGAGTTTGGAGAGGTAATCAAACCCTTAAATAAGTCTAGTCTAGTTTTTGTAATATGATAAACTTAAACTTGAAGATTTCAACCTTGAAAGGGATAAATATAAATAATAGTTGTACATTTTTGAAGTGAAGTCACTTGAAAACTAAAACGAAAAAAGAAGGTTACGGATTGGTATGAAGGTTCCTATTTTTTGTTGATATATATTCATTGTTAACCAATTAAAGCTTACTTTTTTATTTGGCATTGATAGCAAAATTTATTCGCCCTTCATGGTTTATGTAGCTTCCAACTCTATGCCAAAAAATTGCCAATTCCTTCATTTATCAAGAAGGACATTTGGAAAATGTCAAGTTTTTAGTTCAATACTTATCGTTTTGTGATTTTGATTCAATTTTATATTAATTTATAAAATTGTTTAGCAGTTTTTTTTAACCCTAAATAGTATAGAAAAATGGATATTTAATATATTTATAATTATTAGAATTATTTAATTAATAAATGGGCATATATCACTGTTTTAATTTTAATTGTGAAATTTAAAATATATATATATGAAAAAAGCAAACTTAAAAAAAAATATAAAAACTGACATGTTGAATTTCAAAAATATATATATATAAATATATTTTTTGTTAATTAGAATAAAAATTAAAGAAAATAAAAAATAAATGTGAAATAATATAATATTTATTATAATTTTGTTAATTATGTAAGAGTAAAGTGAGAATATAAGAAAAATTTATTAAATATTTATTATTACAATTAGTACTTTTAAAAAATTTTATTTAAAAATTTAAATTCATTTTTCACATAAATTAAAAAATTTTGAAAATTTGAAACTCAAATACTTGATTTTAACAGTAAACAAATTATTTCATGGTCAAACATCAATAAATAATTATAAATGAATCGTAAATTTTAATCAATCAAGCTAAAAAAAAAAAAAACCTAGCTTAATTTAAAATCATGCTTTAAATACATATACTTGAGTAAGCATATTTTTTATATTCAAGCCCAGCATGTAAGTTACCTCAAACTTGACTTGGAAATAGAATTAGGTACTCAGTAAACAGTAGCCAATGTGAACTAACATGTCATTCTGCTTTGATGGACAAATTGAAAAGAGAAAAAAAAAAAAAAAAAAAAAACAAAGGACATGTCCATCAGTCATTGTAATCTAAATGTCAAAGCCATTCATGATCAAACCGAAAAAGGACAATCCTCTAGAGATAAAATACAATGGGCAAGATGCCCCATCTACTTTCACATTTAATCAAACCAATTTGATGCACATTTTGACATTAATAAAGATAATGTATTACTTTATTAATTTTTCTTGAAAATCTAAAAATTTTATTATTAATGTATTTAATGATTTTTCCAATTTATATAAATATATATTTTTGGGTGAGGTTTTTTTTTTTTTTTTCCTTGTAAAAACTGAAGATCTTTTTTGGTTATGTCATGCCAAATTTATGGTGTCCTCAAATTAACAACATCTCAATAAATGTTATGTGCCAAAAAAGTCTCAATAAATGTTATTGATTTTGATTGAATAACTAATTAATAATAGAAATTAAAAAATACTAAAGTAACCAGAAATATATATACACTAACAATCATTTTCTTCCCTTTTTCCAACAAAGAAAATCACTAAATTAGCATGAAGCATGTAACAGGTTGTTTTATTATTAGACAAATTTATAATTAATTGGACATTTGTGATTAATATTTTTTAAAAAAAGAAGAAAAAAAAAAGTTAGTCACATCAAAAGGAGAGAATATTTTTTCTGTTTAAATGCACCAAAATGTACCCTAAAAATGGAACAGCAAAGCCCAAAGAAACAGTGTTGGAGTTGCATGTTAACACTGTGTTTAAGGGCAAAATTTTGGGTTTGTTTCCTTTCCTTTTCTGGTACAACCTAATTGGAAATCAACCTGCCCACCTGGCTAGGCTGCTTGGTTCCAACAGCTAAGGAATTGGAGAGTCCATGTATAATTTTTTTCGTATGTGCATTGGCAGTGCAATCGGCATGTGCGCTACCCTATTTGTAGGATTGAGATTCCAAATGCAGGAGCTGTGTCCCTTACTCTAAGTGGGAACAACTATGCTTTCTAATTTTAACAAATCCTATTCCTATTTCATCACTTATGACAATCATGGCTCCTCTGAATAATATATTCTTCTTGTTTAGAAAATCCCAATATCTTTATCCAAAATCAAAATTTTTGGAGGAAGAGAAAAATATGGTAAAAAAATAAAGATACCAATTCCCTAGATTCTCTTTTACCAAAGGGAAATGGTGAAATGGTTCTTCAATTTTCTTGCATATCAAAACTTGAATGAAGATTAAATTTGATCATTTATATATTTATATAATATAAAATATTAATAATTTATATATTTATATCATATTTTATATAAAAATTATATATTATAATTCATATTTAAATGAAAATATAAAATATTTTTTTATTTTATTAAATTTATTTATAATTTTTATTAAAATTTTAAATTATATTATTTTTATCTTTTTAAATTATATTATTATATCATATTTTAAATCATCATATTTATGAAAACTTAAAAAAAACCTAATTCTCTAATGACCCTGTCCTTTGAATTTTAATTTTCAACTATAATTATATATCGTGGCAATGTGTTTTACACAAATTTGTAAAAAGTACTCCATATTTTTAATAGAATTATAGCTTATATATCTATTTGTAATATTTATAATCAATGTGTCCTGCAACAATGTACGAATAATAATTAGATCAAATAAATTCGAATTACTCTTAGCTTAAAGGTATATAAAACTGTACAAAAGCAGTATATAGATATATATATATATATGTCTTTTTTAATGAGAGCTATGTGTCTATTAAAAAATAATTGTTCATTAATATGTATTAATTGTTTGGCATTAAAATGCTCTAAGAAGGAAAAAGTGATGTTTTATATACACATTTAAAAAATTAAAACAAAAATAATATTATAATCCAATTATATCTATTCCCTGTATATGTAAAGAGAAAGAAAATCAAAATAAAATTGAAGGAAAAAATTCACCATGAAGTTTGGGCAAATAGTGCCTATTGACTAATATTTTTAGCTTTGAAAATTTTAGCTTAGAAATTTAAAAATATGAGGCTAGGCTAATTTGATAGGTTTTTTAGGTAATTTTTTAGGTATTTGAGTGATGTGCATATTGAACTGTGATTATTAGATATGATAATTTATATATTTGTATCATATTTTATATAAAATTTATATATTATAATTTATATTAATATAAAAATATAAATTATATTTTTTATTTTATTAATTTTATATATAATTATTATTATAATTTAAAATATATTATATTTATATTATTGAGGATTGGTTTGATTTTATTAATGATAAAAAAGTTTGTGTTGGTAGTGATGAGATTAGTTTGCTAATTGATAATACTACCTATAATAAATAAAATATGTGAGGAAATTGCAAGGATTTTTTTTATACCATTTTAGATTTGTGTGGTTGTTTTTTAAGCAAGTAATTAAGTTATAATTGGTCCATAAAAAACAAATTAATTAATCAAGTTGCACTCTAAAAAAGTCATCAAATAGAAAGGGCAATCAGAAAATTTAGAATTTTGCTCCTACGATGTATCTAGTTATTATAAAAGAGTGTTAGGTTTGTAAAATTTTAAATTATGAGAGAAAATATAATCTTAAAAAAATAAAATATTCAAGATATTTTTTATTTTAAAGATATTTTGTATTTAAATTTATTCGTTTGATTGAGAGAAATTTATTTATATTAATTTTTTAATAATTATCATAATTTTTTTAATATATATAATTATAATTTTTTATTCATTTTTATTAATAATAAATACTTAAATGACAAATTATACATTTAACAACAAAAAAAGATAAATATTTTATTTGATTGCTATTTTTATTTATAAAATATTATCAATAAAAAATTTAAAAATTATTTAAGGCATTTATAGTTTGGAAACGCTTTAAACAATCTATTTTATTTTTTTAATTGATTATTTAATATGTTTTTTGTTTTAAAATGTCTTAAATAATCTTTAATTTTTTTTAAAAGAGATTACTTAAGATATTTTTTATCAAAAATACTTTAAATAATCTCTAATATTTTTTTAAAAGAAGATTATTTAAGGCATTTTTGATAAAAAAAATATCTTAAATAATCTCTAATATTTTTTAAGTAGATTATTTAATGTATTTTTTATAAAAAAAAAGTCTTAAATAATACCATTTACTTTTTTGGCCTACATTATTTAAGACGTTTTTTACTAAAAATACCTTAAATAATTTTTTTCATTATTTATAAGATTTAAAAGATAAAATATATAAAAAACTGGAGTAACTTAATTAGTTAGAGTATATGATTATTAACATAAAGTTGTAAATTTGATTTATTCTTTTGACCTTTTAATCTTTTTTAAATGGATTATTTAAGGTATTTTTTGTTAAAAGTGCATTAAATAATATCCTATATTTTTTATAAAATTTAAGAGATAAAATATAAAAAATTGAAATAAAGATTTAAGAGATAAAATATATAAAAAAATGGAGTAGCTTAGTTTATTAAAGCATATGGTTATTAATCATAAGGTTGTAGATTCAACCACTCTATTTTAGCATTTATTTTTGAGGTAAAAAATGTTTTAAATAATCTTTCAAAAAAATTGAATAAGATTATTTAAGGTATTTTTTGTCAAAAAATATCTCAAATAATCTTATAAAAAATTAAAATGATTATTTAAGATATTTTTCATGTTAAATGCCATTAATTGCAATATAAGCAAATTTTTTAGTAATAAAAATCTACAACGATTTGCAATCATTTTGAGATATACTTTTTCAAAATAGTAATGTCAATTTCATAATTTTTTATTTAGGTTAAATTTAAAAATAATGTAATTTTTTAAAATCTTAAAATACTATATGAAAAAATGAGTTTTTAATTTCAAAAATTTAAATACTGTTAAAAATTTATCACTTTTTTTTCAAAGTTAAATTATCTTAAATTGAATGTTAAAATCAAATACTTAATAATAAATTTTCAAAAAAAAATCAAAGTTAAATTATCTTAAATTAAATGTTAAAATTAAATACTTAATAATAAAATTTCGAAAAAAGAATCAAATGCCTCCTAAAGAAGCATATTTTGACCTTGCACAAAAAAAATAAATGTCAATATTTATAATAATTTTTTTATTTTTAAAATTATGATTTTTTATTTAAAAGACAGTGAAAACCCAAAAGTAGAGGAACTTTGGGCACTGGTAGGTAGCATCTAGAGGCCTAGACTAGTAATAATTAAGAAAAAAATGATTCTTATATAGTCATAGTGTTAGCCTGCTAGGGTTAACTGGCCTAGCTACCTCAAATGTTTTTGAATCAAGGGCTTTTCGTTCACAATGTTGGCCATGTTTTTGGCTCGAGCAAAGGCTTCCATATGGGCTCATGATTTTCTCGTCTTTACGTCTTTGCATGGTAAAAAGTAAAAAGTTTTCACAACTTTTGTAGTAATAAAATCGTTCAAACAATATTAAAAAAAAAATCTGTGTAAATACTTTGCTTATTATCGTCCATCTTCAACCTCACATTCCAAAGATAATTGCATTCGACCATTTGGATAATGTTTGGTCTGTGTTTTCGCATGCTAAAAGTTGAAGTCAAAATTTTTATTTTTTTATATAAATTTAAAAAATCTAAAATATATTTTCTCTCATATGAATTACCACATTAATTATCTCATTGATATTTTATTTTGCTTGAAAATTTTGTTCTTTAACTCCTTTTTTTTTTTACTTTATTAATTATCACCGATTTTAACAGAGTGATCAACACAAGAGTTGACCTCCCTAAAGATGTGCTGAATTTTGTAATTACGGATGCATCCCAGCAACGATCTGTAATCATCTACAATAGACCAGTAAATATGGGAAGAAGGAACACCATTGGAAACAAACCCTAGGACAACTTGAGGGTCAACTGCCACAATCAACTATGAATTTTTGTAAAAGGAAAAAAAAAATAAAGGGTGGATCCAAGGATAAATAGAAAAAAAAAAAAAAAACTATTTATGATGATGCAAATAATGAATAAATTTTTGGTAGTGTATATTTTGTACGTATTTGTAGTTAATTATCAATTTTTTTAGTACAATGAGGGTGGGAGGGGGTTGGCTCGTTTTAAATGCTCCTCAATTTTCTAATATTTTAGTACATTAGTCAAAGTGAATTTTCATCCCCCACCATTGCCGGTTTCAGACAAATTTACCTCCTATTGCAAATGGAAATAACAATTACAATGACCCATATTTACCAAAACAAATAAAAAAGAAAAGAAAGTGAGAAATTCATCATATATATAGACACCAAAATGGGTTAATAACTAAATAGTGTTAAATTTATCTTGAAAGATCAATGTCAATACCCCAAACAAAAGATACAACAAGATCTAAGCATTGTAGTTTCCTTTTGACAACAACGTGAGATTGTACTTTAGTTTTGATTTTAAGAAAAATGAAGGGAAACCCTCGAAGCCCTTTTTGAGGGCTTATCCTACAAGCCTTCGGGGGGAAATCATGAGAAGAAATTGAGAGTTATTTGGGTAATTGCTGTGAAGGTTCCTAAGCTACATGAGATTGTGAATGTAGTTATCTATTCTTTCTTTGCATTAAGCCTTTTGGAATAGAAAGAAAAATGAGAGGTTTTTAGTGCTTACACGCGCTTACAAAGGAGAGTTGAGTTTTGCAAGTGTAATAAAAGCTGAAATATATTGGGGTACAGCCCTTGGGTCACTATCAGCTCTGCCTTCACTGCCAAAATTGTCCTATTTTAGCCTTTTTTTTTTTTTTTTACTTACTACTATTTATTAACCAGAGGCCTTTCACTGACTGAACCCTTCCCCTCTCTCCCCTCTCTCCCATCTCTTAACCATTGGACTATGAGATGAGAAAATTTTCTGATTCTCTTTCTTTTTTGGTTTCAAAAATCCTATCTCTCTCTTACTTTATCAACAGTGTTTAACTTCAGTTTGCTTGCTCTTTTTCTGGAAAAGGAAAATCTGATCGTCTCTGATCTGATCTTTTTTCTCTCTTTGGCCATATTTTCATTCCCCAAATAACTGCAGTCTCGCAACAATTTCTTGCAGTCTCTCTGCAGCTGCTGCTGCCTGCTGCTGTGTGTGTTCAACTTCAAAACCAAAAGGGCCTCTCCAAAACAAGAAAGAGAGACTACTACTGCTACTTCTATATTTTTTCCTTGGTTCAATTAATTTTTACCAATATTTTCACTCCCAAAAAGGAAAAAAAAAAAAAAAAGAAAACTCTTTTCTCACTTTCACATATATTCTCACGGAAGCCATGCAAAATCTTGCATTTCATCATTTCTTGAGTTATCACAGCCACCAATATACCTGAAAGTGAAAAGCTCTTCATCACTTTTTTTTTTCAATTATTCCTCAGCAAAGATAAAGAAACTGTTCCTTCAGCCTTAATTAGGTTCATATTTCTACTCTCTGATCATCCTCAGTTTTTCAAGAAGATTAATATAGAAGAAGGGACTGAAACCCTAAAAAAGGAGCGCATCAAAACAAGAAGCAAAGATAACACCATCAACAAGAAAACCAGCGGCTGTCAAGATCCTTCAACACCCCAGAAAAAAGATAAAGATCAATCTTCTGTGATAATGGACTTGGTTTCCCCACAAAACAACCCAAATAACTATCCAAGCCCGATAGTAGGCTCAAACTCCATAGCAACTATAGCTACCAACAACAGCAGCAGCATCATCAGCACTGCAGCGCCTACTCCTAGCACTACAACACCACCTCCATCGACCACTCCAAGCCGCTATGAGAACCAGAAGCGCAGAGATTGGAACACTTTTTGCCAATACCTGAGAAATCATAGGCCTCCACTGTCTCTTTCAATGTGTAGTGGTGCTCATGTCCTTGAGTTTCTTAGGTACCTTGATCAATTTGGCAAGACCAAAGTTCATAACCAGACTTGCCCTTTCTTTGGCCTCCCTAACCCTCCTGCTCCTTGCCCTTGCCCTCTTAGACAAGCCTGGGGTAGCCTTGATGCACTCATTGGTCGACTCCGGGCTGCTTACGAGGAGCATGGAGGTAGGCCAGAAGGGAACCCTTTTGGAGCTAGAGCTGTCAGGATTTACTTAAGGGAAGTCAGGGATTTCCAGGCCAAAGCTAGAGGGGTTAGCTATGAGAAGAAAAGAAAGAGGCCTAAGCAGAAGGTAGCGCCATCAGCACAAGCACCAGCTACACTTGCCGTTGCTGATGCCACTGTTGCAAGTGAGTAAAAGAAATTCAATTATTTTTATTAAAAAAAGAACCAAATATATGGTGAAAATGATCAGAAAACATGTTATAATATTCTCCTTCTATGCTAATTTTACCTTTTTTTGGTAACTTGGTTTGTATTGGAATGTTATTACTTGTTAGTACTGTTATCAATTTTATGTTTTTTTTTCCAAGTTTGAGCTGTACCCTCTCTGTATTTTTGCTTTGGTTTGAAAATAAGGGAAGTGGGTACCCTTCAAATTGCTCTTTTAGGGGACAGTTTGGAATGGTAGTGACAAGATGATCAGTTACTAGGAAGCAGAGGTAATGGGGAAGGAATAGTACCAAAAAGAAAATGATGTAGCAAAAGTGACTGATGCTCTACTACATAGTATATATCCAACCAACAATCAAATTGTTATGTACTTTGAATTATCTATGTAAATAGGTTAGTACTTCTGGATTTCGGATTTATATTTCTGGTCAATTCATCTTTCTGATCAATATATATATGCTTCTTTCTCTTTCTGGTACCTGCTCTTTCTTGGGACATTTTTAATCACAATTTTATTTCTGGTTGGATGCTAATTTGAGACTCTTTTTTTTACAGAAAGTACTATGTAAAAGAAGGATAGGGTCCTTTTGCAATCAGCAAATTGGTCTGGATGATTTGGTTTTATGGGTATTGTTTTTATAAAGGTATTTCTCTTTGTTTACTTTGATATTTCAATGACTTAGTTGATAATGTTATTTATATATATATATATGATGGTATAAGCCAATGCCAATCCTAGTAGATATTGTGATGATCTCTGTTGTTTTCGTGTATAAATATGAAATCTATTCAAATCATCTTTCTCTGTCTCTCCTTTTCTGTCATGAAGGAAGCATTTCCCTTTGTTTAATAACTAGAGAATTTACTCAAATTAAAAAAAAAAAAAGTATTTTCTTTGAAAGACAAGGCATTGGGGAGGTGGAAATTCACGAGCCTGTGAAAGTGTGGATTAGGTATATTGTTAAAATATAACCAAAAAGAGATCTGTTACAAGGCAAAAAGACAAAACCTAGATTCATCTTTTCTAATATTGGTGACAGCTAAAACAAAACACTCACATGTCATATAAAGTGCCATAAGATATAGATGGAATATTGAGGGTTGAAGCCTAATTGAAGGTCTATCTATTTGCTACTAATCCACTTGGGCAGGCAAACTTTTGAACATTATTAAGGATAATAATTCTTTACTACTTGGCTTATGTTTGATTGTCCTTTTGGGGTTATCTGATTTTGCATCATCCTTTTGAAAGATTATTAAATTACTCTTTTCAAAGCTTGGAAAAAGGAAGCCTCCCTCAATATTCTGTGTATTTCAGATGATGCTACAGCTCTTGTTTCTCTAGACTGAATCTTGTGGAGTATGTGGATTATTACACTCTGCAAGGAAAATATAACAAATATTGATTCAAGCTATAAGGCTGATTAAGCAGGAAATGATTGAAAATTGGATGGATATCAAGTTTAATCTAGTTTAGTTGCTGACATGTTCTACATATTTTATGCATATACATAAGTAAGGTAGCTGTTGTCGTAATCATCACCAGCAGACTCGAGAGGCAAATCTTCCATCATGACGTTCCATCTTTTTTCAATTTTATTACCTTATGACCTCTGGCTTAATAGTATAAATATTATGAAATGGATACCTTCGAAATCTCTTTTTTCACTAGCCCTTCTTCGCAATTTCATATTTTTCAAGTCTTTGATCAGAAAGTTGTTCTTCAAATAGCTAGGGAATGTATAGCTCAAAATATATCCTTTATTTTGCCTTTCTTGCTCGATAATTATTAATTTATTTTACATATATGACCATTGGAACTGTGACTTTAAAGAAACTATAAGTATATGGGTTCCAATAAACAACTTCATGTTATTCTATGCTGAGAAATTTGATCCTCAATGTGAACATATTAGAATCCTTAATGCACCAACCAAAGGAAACAAGTTTCTTAGTCTCAACCTCTTTCATTGTCAGTCAAGAACTACTGGAGCATATACCAGAATATAAAACTTAAGAATATATGCACCAACGAGATATATATATATATATATATATATATATATATATATTGTGTAGTAGCAGTCTAGCACACAACTCAAAAGGCCTTTACAATACCATCTTGGGGTCATACAAAAAGGGTGCTTCAAAAATTTCCATTGATGGTAGTTTCATATTTGATTATTCACCCCAATGCAGCAAAATAGCGATACAATGTTATGCAAGTTGCTTTTGCATATATAGAATTACATGCATGAAAATGAAATCGAGGAGAGGCAGTAATAAGATATTTTTGATCAGCTATGAAATCATATGTTCTTGATGCTTAGATGAACATCAATGAAATTGGAACAATGTATTTTTGTGTGCTTGTATATATTTGGTATACTTTTTTTGTACGAAAAGGTTACAGTTTGAAAATAAAAAAAAATGAAATACAGGTGCTATGATTTGAACAGATGTTATTTTTCAAGGGATGGCTGCATTATATTTTGCAATTAATCTTAATTGGGAAAGGTTTTTTTGGGTTGGAAGCAAAAATGAAATTGAGTTGCGTTTGGATTCAACTTTTTCAATGATGCATCCAAGACTTCCAGTTCACAAGCTCGAAATTTTAAGCATAATTATGTTGTAGATTAAGAAGGAATAAATGCACGTGAAAAATATTGCTTGGATTAACCTAATTAATTGATGTTTTACCTTGATTTATTGGAGCTTGACCTACTACGATCCAGACAATGACACATTTTTATATATGCCTGCTCATTTTCTTTGTGTTCCATTTAACCCAAAAGACATTAAATTCGGCATTTTAGGCTCCAATGACTCAGAGAATTGATCATTTTTTATCTTATAAATCTCACATTTTTCCAAGATTCACGTTATCTTTGAGAATACGATTTCATATGCAAGAGGAATTTCCAAGTGCTATAAATAGTATCTTATGCATGTAAAACAAATACGCACACTTTGAGTTGTTTCTATAAATAGTAAGTAGGTATACATTCTATGCATTTTGCATGTTGGAAACATTAAGTCAACAAATTCTGCATTATACATGAATTAGTTTATACACGAATCCGTATGAGGTGTAATGACTTCAAATATTTCAAATATAATTTAATTAATAATTCAGAAGATGCAAACATGCTGTTCATGATTGAAAGCTTACCTAACCTGTTTAAAGTGGAAAAAAGGCAACCAAAGTAATAATATTTTATTAAATTAAACAAAAATAAAATAGTAATAGATATTATTAAATTATTGGAAAATAAAAGTCTCAACCACCATAAATCTGTCTTTTTTATTTTAAAAAATAACATTTACATATTCTTTTTAAACGTATATAAATATACAAAAAGTTTAATGAAAAATTTATAAACAGATTTAATTTATGTTTATTTGTTAAATTAATTGACAATAAAAAAATATTTAAAATTTTATTAATTAAATAAATAGAATATAAAAATTTATTTATATTAGATATAAACGAATAAAATATTTGATAAATAATTTACAAATAAACTCAATTTTTATTATTTAATAATTTTAATATATAATTATAAAAATATTTTAAATTTTTAATTAAATAAATCATAAATACAATAAAATTAATTTTTAAATAAAACTAAATTACTTCGATCATTTGCGTATTTAAAGGCGCACAAGGCACAATCTCCTATAACAAAAAGTCCGTACAAAAAGATCCCGCAATCTACGGTGAAGAGCATTGAACTGACACGTGCGCCTAAAGCTTGTCCCTACTAGCCGTGTATCCCACGTGGACAATTGTACTAGTTGTCGGAACAGATAATCCCTCCCTCAATAGAAATTTTTGCCCGCGTCCTGTGTTGCACTTTTCCGCTGCTGATTCAGCCACGCGGTTTAATCTCAACCGTCGGATGCAGCCCATACGAGGTAAGAGCTTTTTTTTGTTGGATCTCTTGCCTTCTTTGGGTGTCGCCTACTTTTTCTATTTAGGGAGAGAAACCTTTTAAAAATTTATATTATTTTTATTACTAAAAAATTAATGGGGTGAAAAATGTTCGGTGGTCCTTTTTTTTTTTTTTTAATTTATTGTTATTAATATCATCGATTATATATTATCTTTTTGAAAAAATAAAATATTATTTTGAATAAAAATAATTTATTTACTAATGCAGATTACTGGGTTGTTTTAGATATTGTTAACACCGTTAAATCAAGAATTACCACATTGGTTTACTTCAATTCTTATACAAAATTAAAAAAGTAATGAGTTCATGTGATTTTTATATTGAAAATTTTAAACATTCAATTTTATAATTTTTAACTAATCCCTATGTAATATCTATCCTAATACAAAATATTAAAATCTTTGAACACGTAATTTAATTCAATTTATTTATAAAATTATATTTATACGATGATATATATTAAATTTAAAATTTTAATTTTAATATTTATAATTAAGATCTTTCTTATTTTTAAAATAAAATTTATCTATTTACTAGAAAAAATGTGTGCAGACAGCTTGACACCAACATATAAAATAAATGTATTATGATGATTAATTTTTATTAGTTAAGTAACAAAAAAGTTGATTGATACTTGAAAATTAGCAATGCAGTGAACTTAAGCCTTTAATAATTTATATAATTATCTTTAAAAATAATATTTAATAACAAAATCAGATTTTAAAATTAAATATTTAAAATTTAAAATTATTTTTATTATTTTTATTGTAACCTCTTTTATAAAATAAATTAATAATCAACTTGTTCAAAGATCGAGTTATCCACACAAACTCGAAGATTTATCTAAATTTTGAGAGAGTTTGGATAAAAAATTAAAACTTGTTAAATAAATTTGGGTATAATTTTTAGATTCGTTTAAATTCAAGCTTGACTTTAGACAAAGATTTAAAATTTGAGCTCGACCCTACCCTAAGTCGCATGTTATAAATTTTTTATTTTTATATATGTAAATTATATAAAAATTAATTTACATATATATAAATTAAAAATAAAAAATATATATTTTAGTAAATTTAATTTTTACATATATAATTTTTAGTTTTAATTTTTATATACATGTAAATTAAATATAATCTTATTAAATTTAATTTAATCATATTTTTAAAAAATTTATTATATAAATTAAGTTTAATAAATAAATTTAAAAATATTTTTTTAATTTAAACTAAACTTAAAAAATTTTTAAAATATAAAATTACAAATCGATGACCTAAATAAACATATAAATTATCAATGTTAAGTACGAGTCTAGGCCAATCTGGATCCGACTTGAGCGATGAATACCTCAACAAGGAAATGAATTATTGAGGTGGAATGGAAATTGATATGATCAAATCCAAAAGCAAGTTTGACAAAACGAGAACATAGAGAAAGAGAAGGTGTTTGTTTTCATCTTTGTGACAAATGATAATGACAGAATCAAATATATTCAACCATATGTCTAACTCATACATCATTTTATTCAAATATTATTGGTAATTGATAAAAAAAATTATCGAAAATCATAAATTTTTTTTTAAAATTTGACATCAACATTTCCAAACTTTCAATGACGAAAATCAAATTGGAATAATTGCTATTGGTTGCTCAATTTGAACTAAAAATATAAACATTTTAAAGTAGCAGCACTGTTAATGGTGTGAAATGACATCATATCAACACGGTGGGCTCATCATTCCTTATCTGTTCTCTGTTTTTTTTTTTCTTTTTTCTTAAGCTTACGTCGAATTAACGTGGAAATAAAGTTGGCATCGGTCGGGTTTGGAGCGATTTTATTCGCTTCGAATTCGATTTAATTTTATATATTATTAAATTTAAATTTGATTTTATTAAATTTTTTTTATTTTTTATATTTGAATTTAAATTCAAACATGATATTATATAAATAATACTTGATTCGATCCAATTCGAAATTAATAAAATATTTTTTTTAATATAAAATATTATTTTTTAAATATAAATATTTAAAAATATCATTATATATAAAAATAAAAATTAATTAATTAATTAAAAAATAATTTTTTATATAATATCGAGTCGGGTCGAATTTACCTAAAATCCAAACTCGATTGTTTCATAACCTTATCCGACCCAACTCGAAATTTGAACTTAAAAAAAAAATGATCTCATAAGGTCGGGTCGAGTCGAAACCCGTCGAAGACGGGTTGGATTATCGTCTCGACGTGAAAATGTCAATGTACTTCGAATAATTTATGTATTTATGTAATATAAAATATTAATATTTTAAATATTTATATAATATTTAATATAAAAATTATATGTTAAAATTATATATATGTATTTATTTTTGTTAAATTTATATAATTTTTATTAAAATTTTAAAGTATTATTATTTTTATATTATATCATAATATCGTATTTTAAAAATAAAAATAAAATAAATATATAATTAATTCATATAATTACTTTTAAAAAATAATATTTATTATTTTTGGATTAAAATTAAAATTAAAATTTAATTAATTTATGTGATTATTTTTCAAAAAAAAAAATGTAATATATACGAAATTCATTTTTTTTTAATCAAGTCCATCAATTGCATCTCCTTTGGAGTTGAAACTTTTTAAAGTCAGAATCTTATGTTTTAAACACTAAGAATATCTTTTAGCAACGACCAAGAATTATCATCTAAATTGATAACTGATTAAAATCTTGATCTAGAAATCAAATGTTAATTCAAAACAACCATTTGTTTCCAATCCATTCAAGGTACTTTGGGTGTGAATTATACGCACCGATGCATATGCAAAATTTATTACAAAATCTGTTTGGTTTGATTCGAAACTGTTGTTTCTGTCGTGAAATTCCTGTTTTTTCTGTCAATGTAGGGTTCCTTGTATGAATGTTTTTGAGTGGGTGAATTGGAGCCAGTTGTCTTTTTCCGACTTTCTGTTTTTCAATTTTACTATGAAAATCTTTCCTTTTTACTGAGCTTTAAAATGTTCAACCATTTTTTTTTTCCTTTGGATTTTGATTATTTTAAGGTTTTGATACTGTTCAAGTAATTATTGTTGGGGTCCCTTGTTGATTTCTTCAATTCTCAATATCCATAACTCCAAGCTCAAGTGATCACTTTTGCACTCAATGGATTGTACCATTTTTTTTTTATGATTAAAATCACAAGATTGAATTATTTCAAGTTTAAACCTTATAATAATCAAATTTAATTCAAAATTAATCAAATTAGTAAGACGAACAACGATATACTTATTCATTATTTTTATCCAATCTTTTGCTTAATAAAATTCATATACTATGAGATCTTTATAAAACATATAAATGTGATTACAATCATAATTAATAATTATGTTTCATAAAAAAATTAATAAATTAAATCAAATCAATCAATCAAAATCAAGATATAATTAAATAAAAAATAAAATAAAATAAAATAAACTAAATGATTACACTTTAAATTTGACATATTAAAGTTTTAAAATCTTTCTCATGAGAGGATGTGATATAAAGATGAGTGGAAAGGAGAAGCAAAGTGTTAAATTCAGCAATAAAGGAGCAATGTGGGACAGTGAATCAGTGACCCAGTAAGGCTGAAGGGAAACAGCTTTTTTCCGACCATGACAGACCCCAACTATCAGTCTATCACTATCGACAAGCAGATGAGCAGTCTGGGCTCTAAAACACCTGCTTCTTTTAAATGGGCCATAGCACGAATCTTTGACCCCATCTTTCCTTTCCTACTGTGATTAACATTTTTTTTTTCCGTCGAAATATTACAGAATCCCATGACCATTTTCTAAAATAGTTTACAAATAATGCAATAGATTAACTCTAATAATGATCAGATTAACCAATTGAACTCTAATTGGCTTTTAATTCAATGGATTGAGCTCTGCAATAGTTGTCGGGATTTGAATCGGATGATTAAAACTAAATATTCAGTACTTTATTTATTGGATCAGGCGGCTAATTTTTTGTCAGATACTCCTGTTATTCGTGTTCTAATTTCCCTAGCGGACACTTCATTTTCCACCCTTCTGGTGGAGAAAAATGGAGCGAATGCAGCAGCATAGAGCAGTAAATAAATAAGCAAACCTAACAAGGTTTCCAACCAAAACAAAACAAATGAGTTAGAAGGAGCTTTGTTTTTATTAACATTGTATGAAACTAAGCTACAACCCAAGATCAAAAAAAAAATTGTTGATGCGGATATGGGTACCCCTAACTCAGGACCAGACGCGAAATGAAAAGAGGTTGTGAGAATCTACCAGTTCAATTTCTGGACTTTTTATGCTACAAATAGTCAGTATGCACATATCCCACAGCAAAATAACCTATTGTTATCACTCTTCTCCTACTTGAAAGAATGACGGATTGAATGACAGTTGTATGTGAAGCGTGAAAGCAGGACACTGGTAATTTACAGAGATGAAAAAAGGTAGGAACTCAAGAATTTGATCTCGAATGTGCGTGACCAAAAAATTCAATCATCTAGGACGACCGTGAATCTCTTCATTAAGGAGTCGAACCACCAGGTCTAGATCCATGGGTGGCCTTTTGTTACTTAAAATGCTACAAAGTGAGTGTAATTCTTCGGAGTTCGCCTTCTTGAATAGGCCTCTGAGAAGTGTGTCAACTCCACCAGGCAAGCAATTGGTCCCAGGAGCCCCTGCATTGTATTGTTCCCCAGATGTTGTAAGTACGTTCCCAACATTATCAGGGAACTGAGAATGTTGTAGAATCTGCACTTGAGGCCGTGAGTAAGGCCGAGAGTCCCAATACTCCATACAAACTCGATTTCGATCCAATGCCTCAATGGCCTGGTTTATGTTAACCATATGAAAGAAGAGTTTTACTTCATATGTCAGAGTAGAGCATTCACCATGAAATAAAGTTGTTAAGCCATTAAAAGACAATACGCCCAGGGAGGAGGGGGAGTAACAGTTTAAATAAACTAGTTGGCTAACTTTTCAGATCAATTGGAAGCCAGCCAACTTTTTACTTTTGAAGTTAAAAATTGTTTGTATCCCCAGAAGTCATGGTTTTACTCTTGGGGAGGCTTTTAAAGTTATCTCCCTATCACCACATCCTAGAAACTGGTAACTAACTTCAGAAAACCAAAAATAAAATGGGGGTGGGGTGCGGATAGAGGGAACCAAAGAATCACGTAGCATTACTAACTAATTTACCTTCACAATTTCTGGTGAAGAAAAACCAAACATCTCGAAGCCGTCAAGGCTTCCAGGTGGCTGCAATGGTGGAAGGTTTGTCCTTCCTAGTCTATGCTGCTTCGTGATCTCTTGATTCACTTTCTCCCTCACCATCTCCCAGCATCTGGCAGCTGAAACATGAATGAATACTTCACTGGGACAATGCTCCACAGAAACCTGAAATCAAATCAACATTAAAGCCATGCACGCTTAAAAACCCATACATTTCTGGAAATTATTTGCATATTTTGCTCTAACCAAAATTCAATTCATAACTAGTTGGAAGACAAGCATAAAATAGAATTTAAAATTTTTCTACGGTAATAAAACATAAAATTATTTTTTATAATATAGATGGAAGAGGTAAAATGTCAGGTGCAAGATGATAGCATTAGCAAGCACTTCACATAATAATGTCTAGATGTTATACTTCACACAGTTTCCCAGCAGCTCTGATGGCAAGATTTAGTCAACTCTGCCTACCAATCAAATAATGTTAAGATACATAGCCCACATTCAATTACTTTCTGCATCTAAGCAGAGATAAACACAATGAACATCAGAGAAACAACTCAGTGACGAAGATAAATCTGTCCATATCTAATATGAATTTCTTCAATTGCCCAGAAATTATGAAGGAATATGAGTACAAAATACTATGACAACTTTTTCTGGAATTATATAATTTCAGTTGAAGCATAAACTGGAAAGAGATAAAAGTGTCTAACTGATAAGATAGTGGCACAAAAACAATGTTGATACAATTTTTTTTCCTTTTTAAGTAATGATATAATAAAATTTTCAATTACCATGAACAGAGGTCCATCCCTCCCCGCATCCAGAATTTCTGAGACATAGTATGCCATATTTGTTGGATCTAGAACACTTATATACCTAACCCGGCTCTTAAATCCTGCATTAATTAGAATAAACAAGTAAATACATCTAGCTAGTCAAACTTAGAACATTGACATGCATCAGCCTTAATAGACCCTAAATGCAACTTACCTTTAGGAAAAATGGCCAGGCTGTTGCACCATAACTTCCCAGAAAGCACAACTCCAAATTCCAGAGGCTCAACATTACAGTTGATCCTACGCACCACCTTAGCAATGCGAGGACCTTTCTGCCGGATGTTTCTGTCCAGATTATTTTGAGAGCAAGAAGGGCCTCCTATAACAGTTCTTGCATCTTCAACTAAATTTGCAGAGGCAATGGCTCCCACATTCTCATGTTTATCCTCATAAGCTTTTTCACTGCCCAATGGCAGCAGATTCTGAAGGTTGCTTTCAACAGTCACCAGATTATTCTTGCTATTATCCATCCCTCTAGTATTAGAAGAATACTGAACAATTCTACCAGATTCTGCAGTGGCAGAATCTAACTGACAAGAAATATTCTGGGGATTAGATCCTAACAATGTGATACCATTTCCAGCACGTTCATCTTTTAGTTGCGAATAATGAGATGAAGTATTCCTCTGTACATCAGGGGAACTGGCATCCCTTTGGTTCATAACTGCAGCATCAGATAGAGGGGTAGTTAAGATAGGCTCATTCTTGTAATTACATGTGCTTACTTTTTCAGCTGATGGTTCCAGCCTCAGTGAGGCTTCCGACAGATTTGTAATAGAATGTTCTTTTGATCTTTCTGAAACTGGCCTCTTTGGTTCATCACCTTCATCATCACTAAGAAGAATAATATTATCATCTGCCGGAGCCGAAGGTTTCTTCATTCTACTTTCGACAGAAGCTTGGCCTCCAGGCATGCTTAAGTTGGAAGCAGAAAGAATCGATTCCTCTTTCTTCAACTTAGAATTTGGATCTTTTGAAGGCCATGCAGCCTCTGATAGTTCATTTCTTTGTTGCAATAACATCTTAGCAGAGATCCGAGTTAAAATCAAGGGCTTTTCTTTCGAAATTTCTTCTCCTGGCAAGTCTTTGAAGGAAATGACTGATGATTTTGATTGCACCTCTTTAGGTGTTCCTTCCAGAGCAAGGGATAATCTACCACCTAGTATATTGTCCTTAGAGACATATGAACTCAGGGCCAGTCCAAGGTCTAGTCTTGCCCACCTATATATTGCACTTAGTTTTCCTTCCAATGCCTCGACAAGGATATTTAATTCATTTATGTCATAGCGAAAGAGGAAAATTTTAGCACCCCTAGCACATGAGCAAAACTGTTTTGCATGATTCAGGCATGCATATCTATCAGGGCAGCAATGACAACCAGCTGCAGAAAGGTGCAAATCAAAAAAGCATATACTGCATTCTCTCTCACTGGTAGCATCAAAATTGCTCTCCATTTTCACAGCCTGAGAGGAACTGCAAAGAAATTCCCTCCTCAGACGCTCCATCTCAACACGTGTCTGTGGGCAAGAAAAAAATTCTAAGTCAATCAAAATCAACCCAAGGTAATATAAATATTTGCATATATGCAAATAAGTTTACAAAATAAATATTACAAGATTTTAGAAAACATGGATTCTTTTTCAGAATTTGAATTGAAATTAAATTAATTACCAGATATAATTAATTAATAAAAAACATATGATTGACTTTAAGTAATTCAGCAATTGAGTACTAGATCCAAATCCAGTGAAAATCATATATATTTTGTACAAAATGAATTTTACATATATACATACTGCATGGTAAGGCAATGTGTCTACATGTACAAATACAATAAGCATGAAGTATGTATGCATGCACGTGCACATAAAATATTAGAGCTCATAATCACAAGCTTCTTATGCTGAAATTATTAGAGATTTGGGATCAATAATTCTCAGGAGATTGAAACGATCCAAAACCATATAAAAAGTTTATCAAGCATGAGATTGGAATCAGAGGCAGAAAACCAGCAAAAGAATGAAATATACACAATTCAACTCTTAGCAATAGTCATCCCAACTCAAATCCAGATCATGTACGGAGATTCTGAACTGACTAAATAAGAATTCAGAAAACCCCACCCTATAAATCAGCCAAAGACTCTTAGCAGTGGACATAATAATACTTACCTTAAGAGTTTTAGATAAGACTCCATCCTTTCCGCACACATCTTTCCACATTAAGTTATCAGAAGTATACTTCTTCAATAAATTGAGCTCCCAGTGGGCTTTGACTGCTTCCCTTGCTGCTCCTAGCAACAATTTATCATGTGAGATGGAAGTTTTTCTTCCCTGTTCACGATATAGCTCAATAGCAATCTGTCCATGGGGTAACCAGTCAACGGGAGCTACATTTACTGCCTCTGCACAATTGAAACCACAGTTGAACCCTGCATGATATGCTCTAGGGAAGGTCAGAACAAACTCTCCGGCATTCTGAACACACCGATAGACAGGTACCCCTTCAGATTTTAGTATGGAAGGGGACAGCTGAGTGACCTGCATGAAAGAATAACATTCGGGGCATAACTGATACTGTGAAGTAATATTAAAGTAAGTTATATGGTGAAAAGAGAAGATCTTATCCATGACATTATGATGAAGTATAGATTACAACTATAAATTCAATATTCTGTACCATGGAACCAGGAACAGTTATTACAACACACCCACTACTTTTGCACCATGAATGTGCATAGATTTGTTATGCAATGATTCCATTCATTTCCTTTCAAGTAGTCTAAATAGATAGTGAACCAAAGAAAGCATCCTAACTTCTCACATATCCTATAGTGAACAAAAAAATCCTTCATGCTAGAACCAGAACCTGGCTCAAACATTCAAGGGGTACTGGCAGTAATGATTCCTAATTCAAATTTTAATGTTAAGAGGAAAACAGCAGGTACAAGACCACAGATCAGCCTTACCAAGCCACCAGCAAAATGGTTGATCCAAGTAAAACATGTTGCCTCAATAAAGAACTATTATAATTATCTGACCACTTAAATTCAAAAGGCAAGAGTATCTTTTGACATATTTGGCATCTTAGTACTGATTGACATGCTCAAAAAAGCAGTCAGATAAAGTCACCTTTAGCTACAACACAAATACAAACACCATATTATAGAACTTTTAGCTCACCAGTTTGTGAAGCAGGTCAGGTTGCTCATCAAAAAGGTCAGGCAAATGCTTTCTCATAGCCCCCTCCAGTTTAGAAGCATCCTTTCCTGGGACACCGTACCAAAATTTCGGAGCACCCCAATGCATGTAATTCAGGGAGTATAGGTGGTGATCTTCAACATGCTGGTCGCATCCATATAAAACAAATGAAAAAAAAAAATTAGCAATCATTAGCATCCTCGGGTAATCCTTTGATTGTAAACAGCTGCATAAAATAAAAGTGCTGCATGTATAAATAATGGCATTAAATGTGACTTCAAAAACTTGCAAGTTCAAAAGAATCATTTGTTGGCTAACACCCAAAAGCGTAAAACTATATCCACAAAATTCTACATGGTGGCCTAGGTGGCTTAAAATTTCGTTAAGGGTTTCTTCCACTATTTTAGCAACAAACTATATTTTAACCTGGATCTGATCACTTTGCAGGCATACCAACTTTTTAACTGTTCTAATAAAGCCGTATTACATACACATGATACATGGGAGAATATAATGGGGTACAAAGTCATTGAAACAAAATAAATATAAATGAATTTCATTGTTCACAAGCTGGGCTAATGCAAAATTATCAAAGAAAATATTTGAGCCAAGAGTTCAACTCATGCAAAGGGAAAAGAGGCCTATTATCCTAGAAGTCTTACCCAACAAAAGGAGGAAAAGCACATTCCCACATACAACCAGGGAACCAGAACCCCAGAAATATCACTGCTTTCATAAGAGAGAAGAGATCCAGGAAGCCTGGGAAAGTTATTTAAGTTCCAGCCTGATTTTATGTACTTTTCATTGGAAGGAAATCCAACTTGACTGGACTTCTTAGGAAATCCACTGCCAAAAACCCCAGTTTCCAGATCAGCGCCATATAAGACCTGAAAAAGAAATGAAGCATAAGAATTAGCAACTAGTCTGACAGAGTAAGAATAGGGCAGATAAAAAAAAACCAGAGCTTGCTTGTCCTAGTTGGAGATGTTAAAAAATATATAGTTTTGTTGATGTAAAGTTTGTGAAATACTTTATCAGAATGAAATTGTTTGAAATAACTAAGAATAATTTTCTTTTGTCCACTTGAAACTTCATTGACTTTGTCCATCAGCTTCTCACTGCCACTATAGAATCTCCAAATTGTGGAACTTCAACTCCTAGCCTCCAAAAACTCATATCCAGCTTCTAGAAAAACTAAATGAAAAGTTTTGTCAAACCCTTATTTGGTCCAACCATAGCTTTCTGGAATAACTAGGCCAATGAAGCACTAAATAAATTAGCAACAGAAAGAATTGGTGATTTTTTTTCCAAACTCACAAATCTTACCTCTATTTCCTCAGTTGCTTTCTCCACTATCCGCCAGTATTCACCCTCAATATTCTCAACTGAAGGTTCATGGTGCTCCAGAAGAGTGGTCATTTTACCTTCCATATCTATATCATTTTCCTTCCTCCTAAAGTACTGGGCCTTGAAATCATCTCCATACTTCTGAAATTTATCCAGAGTAAACTCTGGACCAGGTTCAAACCCAAAACTCTCTACTTCACAAATTCCAGAATCAGCAGACCCTGAGATACTTCCACTATCAGACCTATAGTCTACAGCCATTCTCATGCATCTTCTCCTTTTCCTCTTTATATTGTTATTAACTTTTGACATTTTTCTCATTGAAAAACGATTCTGAAGCTTGTCAACCCTCTGCACACGAGTAGCAAATCTAGAATTTTCCCACATATTCTTTTCTTTAAGAGGACAAGGGGGCTTCCAAGAAGATGGAGGAACAATACGACAGATTCCATATAGTTCTGCTTGTGGTCGTATAGTGGCTATATACTTCAAAGTATCTTCAAACTCCTGTGGGAACATTATAAGACCAGTTAATATATTTTAATTCTCTAATGTAGAACCACAGATTTTACAAGTGACATTAACAAGTATATCAAGGCAACTTATGATATTTGAACAACTCAATATTGTAAGCAACATTAAATACCTCTTCTGTCGGGAAGAACACAGGTGCATCCTCGAGATCTGGCCTACGTGCTTCTTCTGGATGCCATCTTGCAGTTACCTATTCCAACACTTCACTTATCAATGAAATAATATTTGAAGACAACTGTTAACAAAAGAAAATAGCATGTCAAATATACAGTCCGTATTGCATAGCCAAGCTCCTTCACAGCCCTTCAATTACCAGTTAGTTAGCTGTCACTTTAAGCTACATTACAACATAAATTAGCCATCATGTCATCTGGCAAAAAACTTAACTATAAGGCACTTCTGAGTCCTTACTTACATCTAGGATGTTGCTGCTATTGATTGATATATATATAACAACAGTAGGGAGGAAAAAACTATATGACAATAAAGGGGTGGTACTGCCTGAGGCAGATTATGAAAGGAGTGAGAGGTTAAGGCAACTAGGAAAGAGCAAAAGAAGTTGGAAACTAACCTTTTGGCAATCATTACACTCTGGACATCCGCGGATAACACCTTTAGGAAGATTAAGTCTCAATCTTATATTCTGCAAAATGAATGACATATATGAAGCTACCCAGATATAGCATTGTCACGAATGGATAGCATATTCCTTTGCTAAAATTTCCAAAATCAGCATCCAAAATTTTTACAAAACAGAACAACATATTCCAAAAAAACAAAAAAACAAAATGGTCAACAAATAACTTAACAAGAAAAGAAGGAACTAACTTGATCAAGCTTTCCACAATCAGGCTCATCTTCTGAACTGTTATCATATTGACCATAGTTTATCCAAGGTCTACGCCTCATAGGCCTTGTAGTCTTTGTGCTTTCACTATTGCCCAACTCAGTTTCCTTCTTAACTGGACTGGCATCAGAAGTACTTGCAGAGGCTGAGCAACATGTTACATTATCACTCTCGTGTTTTTTAGTATCTTGTGCCCCTGTCCTTAAGGTAAAAGATGCATATGACTCGAAACCTGGTGGAACTGATGGAATATCATCGTTTTCTTCTTTAACACAAACTCTCATAAGTTGTGTCCCCATCAATACTGATACACAAGACAACAGGTGATGCTTTAAACACTACATTCTGTATCTGGAATAGAAAACAGTTGAGTACAAAACATGCTTACCTTAAAAATTAAAGAATCAATTCAGCAGACCAACTCAAGGTACCTAATTTGACATCCTAACTAGGATTCTGAACTGCTGTAGAAAGAATCTTTATCTGCACAGAAATACAAAGCAATTTAAAAAAAAAAAAGACAATCATAATCCAAAAGCTTCATCCCACTCAAAAGCAAACCATTACATTCTTCTAAGATCAGCGTACATTATGTCAACAATGCAATAACTGTTGCAATAAATTCGAGGTTTTAGCCTGACAACCACAATTCAGCACTTAGATAAGAAGAAATGAGGATGCTAAGAAACAAGGATAACCACATTCCAGCATACTTGGTTCTGACAATTGCTATTATACTTGATAAGCCATTTTCTGACCTATCCTCAGCAAATAGAACAAGAGAGAGATTGAAAAAATATAAAATTCAAAAGATTCATGCCTTAGTCTTAATCCTAGTACAAAGTTTCGTTCTCACTTAATCCTAGTACAAAGTTTTGTTCTCACTATGTTAGTAAGGATCAGTTTTAAAGCATGTTGCTGAGCCTAACACTGCCAGGCTTGATAAAATCATATTTGCACTGTCTCATGCATAAATAAGTCAATCTCCAAATCCTAGGATCATATCAAAGATAATAGCTAAAACAAAAATAGAAATTCAATTCTGCAACGAAACTGCCGGAAGTTATCCTAGAGCCATACGATGCCATTCAACAAAACTCCTGCCCAAATTACTAGTATAGCCTAATTAGGTGAATCAACAAAGACTAATGCCTTCTCATTCTTGATAGAGTTGATTTAAACCATGGAAATGATGACACAGTGGAAATCTAACTGATTTCATTACCTTCAAAATCATGATCCCTTAAATCAGTAACCATTGCAATCAATGAATCAAATTTCTCAAGATATTGTTTCTAGAAAGTTCTATATAACAGGAAAATAACACCATTGCTAGCCTCCTTGGATCAGAAAATTGCATCAACATATAAAATTGAACATCAAATTCATCAACATATGTTTCAGTTTTTTTTTTTTTTTTTTTTTATGAGACCTAAACAGAAATTTACTTCATAAATTTCCAGCTAAATCCAAGATTAAAGTCATGCATTACTTTCCCTATTAAATAAGTTTGATTAAATAATCCTAAACCCTAAAAGACCACTATCAAATGATTTGATCAAGAAAAATTTCAGAACAAAATAAATCATCAAAAAATAAAATAAGATAAAAGCTCATAAAATTCTAATTTCCTATTTTATCATCATCAAACAAAAAAATTGTATGCCAAAAATATCCCAAAAAAATCCAAGAAATTTATATAATTAAAAAGTTAAAAAAAATGAGCTTACATCTTGTTGATCCAAAAGATTTCTGTAATTTGACTTCACTGAAAGCAGCTCAAAAAACTCCTTTTGACTACACCAGATTTTCAGGGCAAAAAAATAAAAATAATAAAAATAAAAATCTTTCTAATTTTGAAACCACAATAAAAATAAAAATTATAAAGTAGAAAAAAAATTAAATGTTGAATCTGATTTTAAACAGATCTAAACCTAAATCTGACCCTAACCCTAAATCTCCAAATGGCACAATGAAAAAAAGCACCAAATTCAACAGGAAAAGAGATTACTAATTTTATGATAATAATAGAAATAATAAAAATAAAAAATAATAATAATTTTGTAAATTTTGGTGTTTTAATGCCAATATGACCATCAAGACCCCACCTTTAAATAAGAAAAATCAGAGCAAAGAACAATTCCAAGAAAAAAAAAGAAAAAAGCTGATAGGGGTAAATATGGAAGATGAAAATATTTATCACTTCTGGAAATAAGAGAATTTCGCCAAAGTCGAAAAAAAGTGAAATTTTTAGCTTACCATTTTAAAAAAATGTTTCGGTTTTCTGTTGCGTTTTTTTTTTTTTTTAAGGCAGGGGTAATTTAGGGAAAAAATTGTACGAAAAGGTCAAAATTTTTAATAAAGGGCAGATGAGCTGATTAATTAAGGATTAATCAAGGTTTATAGGTTTTAATTAATAAAAAATTAAAAAAGAAGAAAAATAATAAATAAATAAATAAATAAAAGGACAGAATTCCAGGAGATTTTTTTTTTTAATTATTTAGTTTACCTGTGGGCTGTTTTTCTACGGGCGCCCTTCGGAAATGAAGGAGAGAACGTTTCTTCTTTTTTTTTTTTTTCCTCAAAGGACTGGCGTCGACTGTGGTATGGAGTTTTGACCTACCATCTTTATAGGTACATTTATTTTTTACTAATTTATTTAACCGTGTGAATTAAATCTAGCTCTAGATCCATCAATCTAATTGGTTTTGAAAAATTTTTATTCGATTACCTTCTTTTCTAAATATATTAAATTTAATATTTTAAAATTAAAATTATTAATTTTTTTACATTTCATGTCCAATTAGATCTGATTTGAACATTAAATTTTTTTATCTAAAATTTTTTCCGAATGAAATTGAACAAATAATTTGACTTTTGCATAAATTTAATATAAACTTCGAGAAAGTTTTACTAATATATTTTATAAATTTATTTTAAAAATAAAATTTTTAAAAATATTATTTTATTAAAGATTTCTTTCTGTTTATATTCTTGTTTAATTTATTAAAAAAGATTGTATTGAGTTAAATCTAATAATTTTAAACAAAACATTAAGTCAAACAAATTTAAGATTTTTTTAAATCTGTTAGTGTCATAATATTATAAACACGTTTATAATATTAAAATATATATATTGTTAAAAATATATATAATAACTTATTTATATTTAAATAAATTAATTATATTGCGAGTCAACAATTTAATTATATTTAAATATATTAATTATATCATATCACATAATTAATAAATAAATATATATCATGTTTGTGTAAAAATTTTAAACACAGCAACTAATTAACCTGTTATGTTGGCATAGCAAAGTATAACATTTAATAATTTAAAAATTAAAATTTCAGCATTCATAATTTATTTTAGTGAAAAGAAAAGCGCATATAGGAAAGCAAGTAATGAATTGAAATTGGTGGAAAAGGATAATCCCAGAAGAGGAAAGTAACGTGTACGAAATGACAAAGATTGGTGCATGAAAAGATAGAAGAAAAGAGTTAAAAACAAAACTGCAAAAAGGTGTTAGCCATTAAGAGATATCGTATCACAAATTGGTAGGAAATATCTTTATCCCTCCTTTTTTGGGCCAAGCCAGTTGGCAAGAACCTCTCAATAACCTTTATCTTACTATTATAATAATAATATTCAACGTTTGAGCCCTTCAAACAGAGATTTGGTCTCATACCTTATTACATTGAAGTTGTACGTGTATAAATTACGTTCTGAGTATTTGATTCAATAATTTAAGGAATTATCTTTGATTTAAATATTAATTAGATTTAAATTTATTTGTAAGAGACAAGGGTATCCATGTAGATGGTAGAAACTAGCTAGGAGGTAGGTTTTATTATTTGAGCAACTATTAATATGGTCGTTGGAAAGAACCAAATAATAATAATAATAACTATTTTTACTCAAAACCCTCAGTTCATCCTATTTGCGTTTAATTCACTGCATAACCATTTACATTGCAAGTTTGCAACTTGGGAATTGTATTAATTTCACATGCTTTGTTGATGATTTAACAAATAATGAAGTAATTATTGATAATTTATTGGTTTGCCACTTACCAGTTACCTTGGCAGTATATTGTGTTCTTGAGCTTGTGTGTGAAGGCTTGGCAGCCATGGCTGTTGTCATGATTTTGCAGGTTGACCTGTTGATATTCCATCTTTGTTCTAAAAATAAACTCAAAAACTGAATCCAAAAGTTCATAATTCGTTTTGTATTTTCATTCCTAAGTAAATAGTAACTCTGAAGTGAACTCTAATACAAAAACCAGGAAAAGATGATTACACAAAATGTCAAAATTATTTGTATAGTTTGTACAAAAGATGAAAAGAGTGGAATGGATCTTTCATCTATCAAGCAACGATGATGAACTTTGTATGCCAGCTTTGCTTGTAACCCTTATATGACAAACCAATTGCAAAGCCAATTCAGAACAAAATGGGCAGTTTGGCCATGCGCTGATATGAATGCTGTGATAGACTATGACAACGAGGAATCAAACTCGAATTTTTGTTGAGGATGCACCCCAAGCCACAGGAACCGATCATTCCACCAGCTAGTTGGAGTCAAAAAGATCAGAGAAATGCAACCAACCATTCCTATTGTCCTGTCGATTCTGGAAAAACTCCGTTTCCATGGTTAGGCTGTTCTGCACCCCCGAACTTCATTCAGCTAGTTCTATAGGATATCCACAAACATTAGCAGATTTCCAAAAATGGGAATTCTCCTTGTTCCGAACTTTCTTTTCCTCTTTTGATCATACAGAGAATGAGATAGCAAAATTATCAGCACCATCATAAAAGATATCACATCACATCACATCGTTCGCAAAAATCCCCGAACTTCTATCAATAAGCTATTTAAGTTCTTCCTAAATCTCTGGTAATTCACACGATCCAGAGTTGAAGAAAGATGGTTGGAACTTGTGAGGGAATGCAACGCATTTGCTAGCCTTGATTTGAGCATTGGATTTGCCTGCCTTTCAATTAACTCATTGCCTAGTCTCTGCAAAAGAAGCAGTGCCATAACATAAGAAGATGTTCATATTTGTGACAGCAGAATTCTAGGACAATGCGCCAATTCTTGTAGAGATCTAATTTTGATGCTACCTTTAAATACCACAAATTTCCGAAAATTGACTTTTAATAACACAAGAGAAGCACTCATCCCTCTTAATAGAGCAACAGTTTCTGAATTATACATGTGATGTCTATTAACAGGATGAAATCAAGTGCTAGAAAGAGCAGCATAACTCGTCAAGCTTCAACTCACAGAATTAGAGAACATAAACCAATAAGTATAATGGTTATCAAGAAATAAAGGAAAACCTGGTATACGCCTTGCTCACAAAGAATCAACGGAAGGAGAGCATCTGCTGCAGCACTAACCAGATCAGGACTGAAATCACAAACAGATAAAATAAGCAGTCATGTATCAAGTGTGTAAATACATTTGAGCAGGTATTTGTAAGCCTATCATTGAAATTTGCTTCTAAATACCTGTAATCTTCAAAAAGGAGCAATTGCAATAATGAACGTAGAAACCGGCTGAAAATCCCTTCGGGAAAATTTCCATGCCCTGCAGCATGTGAACCCAATCCTGTTTTACCTGCACACATCTTCCTATAGTGGTATGAAGCCAACGCTTTCAGAGCTCCTAGGCACATGTTAACTACTTCTAAGTCCTACATCAAGAACAAAAATTGAAAATATCACTTGAGATAGTAAAAAGTAAAAAATTTATCCCAAGAAGGCTTGCAAAACAATATTCATAGTTTAGGAAAGAAAACCAGTCATACCAAGGCCCCACCTTACTCTTCTCCATCTTAAGTTAACCACACCCAATAGAAAGGAAAAAGATGGAGGGGTGTTGGGAGGGAGGGTTGAAGAGTCATGTTTGGACAGGAAGGCAACAAGTGGAAACATTGTTATAATACATGATAACAATATAACACGGATAAAAATTTACCTGATGGTGAAGACCGAAGTCCAGAGTTCCAACAATATGAGCAAATGCATCACTGTTTAACTGTGCAAATGTTTCAGGGTAAACCTCCAAAATATGTGACAGAAGCGAGAAGTACTGCAGAATAAATACTAATAATAATCAGCTTCCAAAAAATAACATGGGCTACTCCATCAGAATGGATAGATATCTTACATCATGACAAAGCTTGGGGTATTTCAGCAGCTCCAAAGATATCAGAGGAGTGACAATGTGAAGACCAAAGTAAACAACCTGCAAGAGGAACATTAGACACCATCTTCAAGATTTCCATGACAGTAACAACATGCTAACTAACCTGAGATATATTAGTTCCCTCAACTTCAATGGAATCTGATGAGAAATCAACCTACAAAAAATGCCCAATATTAAGTGACAGAAATCTTACTCCTGATGTGAGAATTGACCAGCACACAACATAACACCTACCAGATCTTTTGAACAAAGACTGGAAAGAAGTTGAAGTAGAGCACGTAGATCTTTATATTTCTCGGTCTTTGCCTCACTAAGTAAAGTGCTTGAAAGACTTATTGAGATCTGAAAAAAAAAAAAAAAAGAGAGAGAAGAGAAAACAGTTGCAGAGAGCAGTAAATGGCACAGTACATCATTGGTTTGTTGGTAAAGATATCACAACAGTATATCCAAGAAAGAGGGACATGAGCAAGGATTATCAGGAAGACTTAAGGAAAACTAAGAAAGTCATGTTGAAGCATTAATGAACCCTCCCCTTCAAGAGTTCATGCTATCTTGAATAAATTTGATTCACCAAACATGGATTTCAAAACCAGAATAAAAGAACTTTAATATTCTGGAAAAATCATAAGTGCCACTATCAACTCAAACTGCTATATGAAACAAGGCCTGACAAAAAAAAAATTCTCAATAACAGATTTTTCACATTTTTGTAATGAATCATACCATAATGAAGCAAACTAAAATAAAAACAAGATTAGTGGAAAATCCAACACAACTAAAAAAGTAAGGTAATCTGGCAATATTATGTTAGAAGGCAAAAGAAAACTCTCCAAGGTAATGCTTGCTTAAAAAAATTTTAAGCAAACAATATAATTGGCACA